TAGCAGAGGAGAAACACAATTTTGAAGCATGGAAGGCTACCATGGCCTGAATTTCCTGCACATGAAAGTACTGTAAATCATTATAAAGTACTGCCATAACACTGATATAAAAATATTCTTCAAAAAACAGTAACAGAGCAGGACATGGTGGTACATGCCAATAACCCCTGCAACTTGGGAGGTTGAAGCAGGAGGGATTTTGAAGGCCAGCCTGAGCAACTTGGTGAGACACTGTCTCAAAATTAAATATATATAAAAAGCTGGGGATGTAGGTTGGTGGTAGAGTGCCCCTGGGTTCAAACCCCAATACAACAACAACAATGACAACAATAACAGAACAGAAACTAGCAAAAATTAACAGATAAACCATATTCCATACTTGCAAAATTTTGTAGTACAGACAAAAACATTTTTCCGTGAGTATCAAAATCTAGTGATTCAATTGCCTCTATAAAGAAAATTGACAAAACAAAATGCAAAAAAATCAAGGAAGAGATGATGGGGTAATAGGAAAAAGTGTGAGCTCAGAAAAATTATTATGGTAAAAATATACACCACGGGAAACCCAATGAGACATACATAATAAAATGAAGAAATAGATAATAAAATTAAGAAATAAAAACCAAATGAGGGCTGGGGATATAGCTTAGTGATAGAGTACTTATCTAGCATGTACAAGGCCCTGGGTTTGATAGCACTGCAAAACAAAATAACAAAAAACTCAAATGAAATAAAAATGAAGAAAACATTAAATCTTGCTCTTTTGGTAATAATTCAGATCAATCCTCACACCAAAGAGAATCTGAGGTGAACAAATAGCCTGTTTAAAAAATTCTGCTTGAACACTGGAAAGCCAGTAAGATAAAGGAGAATTCCTGTGCTAAGATTGAAGTAGAGATGGAAATTCAGAGGTGGAAGATACTATTAGTTAGCAAACCAAAAACCTATATCAAACACTCATCTCCTCTGGTCATTCCAAGCATTTGAGGTTAATTTTGCCTGGGCTATTTACAATCTGAAAAGGAAAAGAGGAGCTGATCAGACTTGGGACATTCTCTTGGAGAAGACAGAAACATAGGAGCACAAGATTCACCAAGGATGGAGATTATTATAAGCCTTTGCACTTTGGGTCTATACGCCAAGGCTGAATGCTAGGAAAAATGGCAAGCCAGAAGTGTCTGTGCATAAGGTCAGTCCAGACTCTGGCCATCTTAGTGATCCAGATAACCCCAGTTCCTAAAACTTGATCAAGATATCCTAAATCTGACAGTGACTCCAAGTACCTGAGAGAAGCAAACAAAATTTGTCTCTCTCTGAAGGAGAGAAAGCAGCATTTTAGACCTCAATTTTTCTACAATTTTGCAAACATAATTTTGGAATATAATTATAGGTACCCAAGCCTGAGAAGAGAGACTATGAAAAAGCAGCAACAGAAACACAAAAGAAACAGATACAGAAGTGGTACTAAACATTGGTATTGTCAAACATACACATAGAAATCAACAAATCTAAAACTTGGATAATTTGAGAAACCAAGTAATGAATTGTATCCCATGAAATTAAATAGAAATTCACAAGTTCATACTAACATAAACAAGTAAGTGGGGAAAGAATAAGTAGGGAAAGTTGTTAAAGTAGAATTTTAATAAATGTATAAGAAATGATGAGACTAGAAAATTGCCACTTGGCAACTACCACAGCATATGTAATACTTAAGCTTTAAGTTTGTCTTACTTGTTCTATATTCCTTTTTCTCTTCTGCTCACCCTTTTTGATGTGATTATCTGTTATCATTTTGCTTTCAAGTAAAATTCCAACTTCATATAGACTGTACGTTCCAAACCTCAAGTGTCTGTGTATTGGTAATTTCTGAAATTTCTTATTACTATCTGATCTACTTAAATTGTTTAGTTTTTACATTTATTCTAAAAGGAAATGTTATATTGCTTAGCAAATCAAAAGTGAGTACTGCTGGGTGTGGTAGTGCACGCCTGTAATCCCAGCGACTCAGGAGGCTGAGGCAGGAGGATTGAAGAGTTCAAAGCCAGCAAAAGCTAGGCACTAAACAACTCAGTCAAACTCTGTCTCTAAATAAAATACAAAATAGGGCCAGGGATGTGGCTCAGTGGCCGAGAGCTTCTGAGTTCAATCCCCAGTAACCTACCCCCCACCAAAAAATCAAAAAGTCAGTATCATTTTCTATAAACAGAAAATAACCAAACCGTAAATTAAAATATTACAACAAAAAGAACTCATGTACACTTTGGGAAATTCTATATTCAAAGAGGCTTTGCCAATATTTAGACCTAACTGCACCAAATGATAGCCATGAGTCACATATTTAAGTGTAATTAATGTCAAAAAATTTTTTAAAAATTCATTTCTTTTCATTCACAACATTTTCTCTGATAATCTAAAGTAATACCTTACCAACCTCCATTAGTTATTTCTCATCTCTACCTTATGTTTTTTTTCATTATAATCACTGCAACTTAGAATTATTTTGTTCATATCTATTTACTTTTCATCTTTGCCTAAGCTATTTAAAGTGACAAAGCCCATAAAAATGCATACGAAGACAACATGACAGAAAACCTGAACAAAGAAAGAGCTGAATACATTGGGAAATTATGTCTACAGATTTGTGTCGAAGTTATTTAATAAAACTTGTTTCAATTTTCAAACTATGAATTCCCCCTTCAAAAGCAGCATTGCATTCAAAATACTCAACTGGAAAAACCAACCAAACTAATGAATACAGGTAGTTTATTATATAGATTTAAAAAATGATAGTAAAATAAAGCAAGTCCAAGTTCAAATTTAAATACAGTATTTTAAAATATGGCTATATAATTTTAGACAGGAAAATCAGTAAAAGGAAACATCCCACTGAAAGTGGGAGTGTCCATAAACCTTTCTAAATAGTAAACTGAGGTTGAGCTGGCAGCTCTCCTTTGGAGGTTTAAAAACATCATGAACAATAGTTACTATACACCTTAATCATTACTCAATTTGACAATAAGAAGCAAGGCAGGATACTCAGCTGATGACCCAAATGTTCAAGTTGATAAGTCACAAAATCCTAATGTATTCATGGAATAAAATGGGGAAGGACAACATGCATTCACTGGTCAGGTCAGAGAAGTGCCAGGTCATATGTTTCAGCATATTAAGTTATTATTTAGGTATACTCATAAATTTTTGTGAAATAAAGTTAGCTACTGTCAGACAGTACAACCCTTTACTAAAAGAATGATCAAACAGCTGGCTCAATCATCTGTGTGTTAACTCCCACTTGTATCAAACATACTTTTGCTCCTTCTTTAGATAACTAGTAGCTTGAATCCAGTTGTTCAATTATGGCAAATGGACAAATCTGATTTATCACTTATGAGACGGAAAAACATTTAAGTGTACTAGCAAATAATTTATAGACTGGAAGATGTTTTCAGGAACACAGGTTTAATTGAAACTTTAATTATGATCCAAGAATTTTTTATGAGAAATCCTATAAAAAGATTTGCTTTAGAAAAGCTTTATAGATATATGGTTAGCAATACTGAGAATGGTTGAATTTAAAAAAAAATGTTAAGACTTAATACTACATTTTCACTGGGAACATGAAGCTCTAAATTCTGTGCCCAAATGAACAATGAATAGTTTTAAAATTTTCTCTTGGAATATAACAAAAATTCAAAACAAAAAAGCAACAGACTTAACTGCAGATTAACTACACAATTTTCATTCAAAATAATTTTTGAAATATTCCCAAAGCTAGTGAGTAAGTGGAAAACCCATTATTTGTGTCATATTCCACAATTCTGGGAAAGTTTAGGACTTTAAATATTTTTAAGAACTTCAACTCTTTATGCTACAGAAAACAATATTATATACTATAATCAGGAAGTGGTTTCCTATAGGGCATTCATTCTTCAGGGTCTTAATTTTCTTTATTTAAAACATTTCGTAAAGGAAAAGGAAACCAGGAAAATAATGTTTTTCCTTCTCTGTTCGTAATTTTCTTAAACATGCTTTCAGGGCTGGGATCGTGGCTCAGCGGTAGAGCGCTCACTAGCACGGGTGGGACCCGGGTTTGATTCTCAACACCACATAAAAAATAAAGGCATTGTGTTGTGTCCGTCTACACCTAAAAATATATATATATATATATATATATATATATATATATATATATATATATATATATATATATATATATATTTTAAAATGCTTTCAAAGTCACTTAAAAATAAGATTATTTCCTTTGTTGGGCACCTTGTATAAATTAGCTGTTAATAAGTGTTTCTTGAACATGAAATGAACAAAAAGTTCACACTGGTATCATTACATAACTTTTATAGAGGATACAAAAACTACTCAGACAGGTAATATGGGCTTACAGTTCTGACAAAAATCTGTGAAAGGACATGATCAAATTAAAACTTTATATTGGTTTCCTTTATTATCATTATTACTATTACTACTGTCTGCCTACAAATTTTGCTGCTTCCAATTCATTTCAAATCCTTTTAAGATTCCACTTCATGAGTTAAGCTTGTACAGAGAACAAAGAAGGTATGCTGTAGTTTTAAAAAAAGTAAATCCATTTTACATAGTATAGAGGCAGTTTAACATCATTAACCCACTATGTCTCATCATCCTATATATCGAATGCCTATAAAAACTTACATTGCTCTATTTTATACATATCCTATAAGATTTTATAGGTTTTTATAAGTGTCCAGTATAAATGATGATGGGACATAATGGGTTAAAGCTTATAGTATTGAAGAATATAATGGTTGTTTTTTAAGCCTATGAACTACTCTTTGCTTCAAGGAGTACTAGCAATATTTGAAGTACATCCTCAAACCTTATCATACTATGCCCAATTGTCCAATAATGACACAAGCAGAAAAATATTTGAAGCACAAAGTTGTAATGTTAATGATAAATGTTTAAAACATTAGGAATAAGATTAATGAAGAGCAAAGTAAATCTATAACAAGAAAAGGTAAGGTACATTTATTAAAAATAAAAATAATACACAGTCTCTGAAAACGAACAACAACAAAAAACATTCAGAATACAAGGACACCCAATATACACTCAAACAATGCACACATATTAAAAAAAATCAAAGACCCATGAAGTAATTTTTCTAGAACTTTTAAAAGGAAAAAAAAATTGGCTTCCTCCTCCTGCTAGAGATTTGTCTATAAACACACTATGCTAGACCAGCATTCCCTTTCAAATGTTCTGTACGACATGGTGTTGCACAATGTGTGCAATTACTTTGATGAACATTGTTTCTGATAAAATCATAGTTTCTGTATAGATGATCCAGAATATAAATCAGTGGTTCCATTTCATAAAAAATATTCATAAGCTGGAAGACCAGTGACGACCATTTTCCAAAATCTTCGATTTTAACAAAAGGTACAGACTACTAAATCTAGACGCTTTCACATTATTCTGCATGAGTATCAAGTACTGTATAAAAATTAATGTAAAATCTTAAGTTAGCCAAAACTAGTGTCTCTAAAGGTCAAAGTTCTTCTTTACTTCATGGCTGATAAATCTTTTCTGCCTTTGTCACTAATAATGTTTGTCAAACCAAAGAACTTTGAAAAAAGAATATGTACTGCTGAAGGAAGATAGTACCAAATGTCATACTGAAGTTCAGTCTTAAGACACACACAGTTCCTGTTGGATATTGGACTGTGATAGTTTATTATCTTCAGTCTTTTCATGTCCTGGAGCATGGCAAATAGTCTTCCGCTTAAATAACCGAAGACTCAATCGTAATAATTCATTGTCTACCATTGGATCATTCGTGTAAGCTTGTTTTACAGTACCCTATTTGGAGAAAACAAAAACAAATAATGGGAAAAAAAAATGTACATTACTAGTTGATAATAGAAAGGATACATAGGTTAACCTGTACCAAAAATACCAAAGTTATAATATATTTAATTTTGAGTGGATATTAAATAACTTTACTGGATTAAAAAGCAAAATTACAAATGTTTCAGACTCAATGAATCCTAGAAAAGAAAAAAAGCTTCAGAGAGCACTTAGTTTTATCTCTTGTTTAATGTAGAAATCCTCAACAGTTCCTTACAAGTAACCAACCAGTTTTTACTCAGTCATTTCTAATGACAGAAAAAGAAAAAATATACACTAAAAATTCTATTATTGAATGGAATTATCTTCTTCATGCAATGAATAAAATCTCTTCTATGAAGTTATACCCTAATTCAATCTTATTTTTATTTGACAAAACTTAAATTCAAAGAAGAGAAGAATTATGGCTTTCTTCCTTTTGTTTTTCTGGGCTCCCGAGCTGAATAATTCTTTAAAAGACAGTTGGTCATGAAATGTATGAGGTACTACCACACTCTAAAATGTATATATTATTGTAACCTAAAGTAACATTAGCATTTTTTAAAGTTATTGTCACAAAATTTTGTTATGTCATCCCTAACTATGTGCATAATGAAATAATGGTAAGATCTAAATACTACCAGCATGCTGCTATTCCTCTTCTTTTCTAGGATCCTCAAATATAAATTATAATGGTTCCTGGCTCACATTTGTATTCCTTGTGTAGGTGTCTGTGTATGTTACTGAGGATTGCCTCGCCTTGTGCATGCTAGGCAAGTGTTCTACCATTGAGCCACATCCTCAGCCCTTTTCTTAAATTTTATGAGGAGACAGGGTCTTGCTAAATTGTTCAGGCTAGCCTTGAACTTGTGATCCTCTTGTCTCAGCCTCCCAAGTAACTGGGATTACAAGCACACACAGTGGCACCTCACACACCTATATTCTTTTTATAAAACATTTTATTTTGTAAGTTGTGATACAGTAAAATTAACCTTTTATGTTAGTTCTACAAGGCTGACGTATGTGGAGTAACCATGATGACAATCAGGATAGAAAAGTTTTCACTCAAACTCCCTCTGTTGCTTGCCCTTTTGTATTCATATACTTTTTAAAAAAATTAATGTTTTTATCATTTATATGTGGTGCAGAGAATTGAGCCTGGTGTGTTACACAAGCTAGGCAAGTGCACTACTGCTAAGCCACAGTCCCAGCCCCATATTCATACACTTTTTCCAGCTCTAACCTCTGACAACCACTGATATATCCTCTATAAACAGCCTTTTCTAGACTATTATATGAATACAGTTTATAACCTTTAGAGATTAGCTCCTTTCCTCGGCATAATATCTTTGAGATTCATCCATTTGTTAACCGTATTAATAGTGTGATACTTTTTGGTGACAATTAGTAAACTTATTGTATGAATTATGACATAGTTCATCTATTATCCAGTTGAAAAACACTGGAGTTGGTTTCAGTTTTTAGAGATTATGAATATAGCTGCTATTTACTTTTATGTATAGGTTTTTATATAAAACTAAGTTTTCACCTAAGACAAATACCTAGTGATGGAATTTCTAGGTCATGTATTAAATTTACATTTAAAGATGTTAAACATCTTTTCATGAGCTTAACAGCTCTCCATATGTCCTCTTTGGTGAAATGTCCAATCATTTGACATTGACGGTAGAGTGTATTTTGACATTGTACATACATGGAGAAGTACTATAGTTTTATATAATAAGTCTTGAAAATGAGTAGTTCAAATCCTCTGATTTTATTCTTCTTTGGAAAAATTATTTTGGCTATTAACTTTAACTTCTCATGTAAACTTTAGAATCAGCTTGTCTGCTCTACTTGGATTTTTACTGGAGTTGTGTTAAATCTACAGTTCAATTTGGGTGAGAACAATAATCTTAACAATATTGAGCTTACAATCCATGAACATGATGTTTCTCCAGGTCTTCACTGACTTTTTAAATCAGAGTTTTATAGTTTTTGGAACATAGATCCTGAATGTGTTTTATTATATTTATACCCAAGTAGTTCATTTTTTGAGAGCCATAAAATGAATTGTTTTTAACATTTTGGTGCCTAGGTGTTCATTGCTATAATTGTTTTTGTACAATAAATGACTTTGTTTTCTGTGACATTCTTAAACTCTATTTATTGGTTCTAGGATTTTTTTCTGTAAATTCCTTGAAATTTTTTACATAGCTAATCATGTTATATCTACTAATACAAACAGCCTTATTTATTCCTTTCCAATCTGTATGCTCTTTCTTTTTCTTGCCCTATTGAACTGAATACAATCTTTACCATTAACTATTATGTTAGGTATAGATTTTAGCTACAAATTCAACTTAAAAAGACTACTCTGGTTATCTATTACTTCTTGAGTAACTTTCGGTAGTTTGTGGCCTTATAGAACGCAATCCATTTCTTTTATGCACATTTATGTGCATACATTTAATCATAATTATCACCTAATTATCCTTTTGTCTCAGCCTCCCAAGTAACTGAGATTCATGTAACCATGATGACAATCAGGATAGAAAAGTTTTATCACTCAAACTCCCTCTGCTTGCTCTGTGGGATCTGTAGTGATATCCCTGTTTCCATTTATGATACTAATCATTTGTATTTTCTTTTTTGCCTTGTCAGTCTAGGTAACAAATTAATGTGCTCTCTTTGTATCTTTCACCTATTTCTCCCAGGATACACTATAAATAAGAAGCTTTAAAATTCATTTTTCTAAAAAGAAATGATACCAATATATGGGTCAATAGTTTTTACACTATTTGTCATCTTACAAGAGACTACTACTTACCCTGATAAATGGTCCTGTTATGTATTTTTTTTTCATAATCATAGAACCTAAAGGTTTTTGTTAGCATTTTGAATAAGGCTCTCTAGAACCTGTAATAATTTTTTTTTAGCTATCTCTCTTTCTTTTAGCTTTTGTACTGATATTTTTAACACTGAATAATGTGAAAATCTGCAATATCTTCTTTAGATGGATCATTGAAGACATTTATAATGTGCCATTGAAACTTTTTATAATGTGTCAAATGTTAACTGTCTTGTGCCTTATACTGAAGGATTATAAGGTTCTGAACAAAAGTTTTTCATGAGAAATTTGCAGAGGTATTTTTGGTTATTACAATTTTTGACAAGAACCATGGCATGTTAGAAGAACTAACAAATGTTATAAAATACTTTTTATAAAAAGACGGCAGCACATGGAGCACACCTGTAATCCCCGGAGCTCGGGAGGCTAAGGCAGGAGGATTGCAAGTTCAAAGCCAGATTCAGCTACTTAGCAAGGCCTTAAGCAATTCAGCGAGACCCTGTTTCTAAATAAAATATACAAAAAGGGCTGAGGATGTTGCTCAGTGGTTAGGCACCCCTGGATTCAATCCCATGTACCCACCCACCCCCCCAAAAGCAGTAGGATTCTAATGAGATTGTAAACCATACTGTCTTTCTCAATTGACATTCCTTATCTGAACCCAAAAGCAAATGATGTGAAGAATAGTTCTCAATTTAATAGTGAAGATGGTGGTAACTGGTTATCATTTTAGGTGTGTAATATAAAAAGTGATTCATTCCACACATGTTTACGGCATGGGAAGCCTAATTCTCTCAGAGAAATGTTCAGTTGAGAAAGGCTGCAGAGAGAGATGGGCATCCAGGCAAAAGAATAAGGAGACATAAATTGCATTATTTAAGTGGGAGGGGCAACAGAGAATGATTAAAACAATTATCAAACGTAATTTTGAAGTAGCCTTTAAGTGGAGAAGACTTGGTAATTATACAGTCTCAACTTGATTTTTTAAAAGCCTATTATTCTGCATTATCTGTTTTCAGATAATTATCTTGTTTTCATAAATTAGATCATTCCCAAAAAACCTGAGTATTTTTCTTGAATCAAAGAGCCTTTTCTTTAGTAATGGTATACATCCAAGATAATCTGTTTTACCAACAGCACAAAGTTATTAATATTTTTCTAACTTTTTAAGATTAGCTTCTTTATCATACTATTCATGCCTACCACATCCACATCCAAAATAAAACTCCCAGTTTATTATTTATTTATTTGATAAGTGAAGGATTTTATTGGGCCAGTTTATTAACTTTAAAAAGCCCAAGATGTTTTCAATTCCCTTCTATATCTAAACTTACTTTATTTTTCTTACTTTTCAATTCTTAATTCTTCCGAAGCAAATGCTTAAACTTAATAACTTCCATTTATTTCCTTCTCTTCCAACTCAACAATTTCATAGGCACTCTTCCTATAAATATCCTCACCTCTCTTTATCTGGGAATTTTTGTTTTTTGATATTCCATTTGAAAAAATTTCTAATATGTCTGCTTCTCTAACAAAGCTTTTCACTTATGCAAAATATTTATTCAAAGAATATCTTCAACATTTTTATGCATGAAATTTTGAACAACAAATAATTATTTTTCAAAACAACCACTAATCAGTTGTTATTAAAGTAAAAGTACTATACATTTTGGAAGAATTCTTTCTTTACACGTGTAAAAGACTAGGACATCAAACTTATAACAATACTTGAGACTGCATTCTCATTTTAAATTAATCAAATGAAAAATATGACATTTATACTATTTACTTTGTATTTTTTCCAAGGAAATAATAGTACCTTTTCATTTTTAACAAGCTGCTTTCGGATTGCTGAATCCCGTCTGAAGCACAGTGCTTTACAACACGGACCAAGATCACTAAGAAGACTTGCTCTTTCTTCTTTTCGTAGTAATGCAGCCATGTTGAGAGCCCCCAATTCATGCTCAAAAAGATTGTCTGCATCTTTCAATACAGATAAACATGCATTAAATTTTCCTACAGTAGGAAAGTGTTATCATTGGCTTAAGTTTGAGTCTATGACTTATCAAAGTTAGCAACATTGGTGAAAATTATTTTATATCAAAGGCAACATATTCTCTGCAAAGAACCTTCAACATATAGTATGTGGCTGACTTAAACAAAAATAAATATTCTGATAGCTGCTTTAAATTTGCTTAAGATAAAAGCAAACATGGGGAGGAGAATGTAGACACTGATTACTGACTATGACTGAGAAGAAAAGTTCAAGTTCAGAATTACTGAAATAAAACTCAGTATGTTGCCTTCCATCAACTACAACTTAAAATTATAGATTTCAGCACTGTATAATAGCAAGATTCAAATGTAATAATATTCAAGATGTGACTTCTAAGAAATCAGCTGACAGAAAATGATTAGATGTTAGACTACCTCTAAGTTACTACAAAAACTTGAGACAATGTATTAAATTAGTAAAAAGACAATTTTAAGTCACAACATACAAGGGAGGGAGAAAACACTTAACAAAAAGCAGAATCAAAAAAATATTTGATAAAAATTTATTGTATTAAAAGGGAAGTAAAGGAAGACAAAAGGAAGTAAAAATAACAAAACAGAACCAGTCAGTAATCAAAATAAAAGAGTAGCCAAGAATTATTACAAAAGCATTAGGTACTGCCTCTATTCCTAAGACATGATCAAACAGGTTGCTATTAGACTCCACAAAAGAAAGCAGTAAATAGCATTAAGGTAAAACCAAATAGGATAAATTTAATACAGAATGAAAGAAGCTGCATTACACAGTTCATTTGAATTTTCTGAAATACAAAATATAAGCAATGAAATTAGAAAATTAACAAGAAACTACCTTCATGCAACACAGTTAAGAGATTTGTACCTAGTTGATAGGTATATAAGTATAAATAAATATAAACTAACTCAAAACTGGTTCCCACACTCTGATGTCTACTTGAATCACTTGAGAATTTTTTTTAGTAATATACTTATTAGACCTACAGAATCAGAATCTCCATAGTTGGGCCAAGATACTTTAAGAGAAAAATAAGGGATTCCTCAGATGACTCATTCTCTCTCTCTCTGTCTCTCTGTCTCTCTCTCTCTCTCTTACACACACACACAGTACCCACAGGCATTTGGACACAGACACATACACCACACACACACACACACACACACAAATATTCTCCATTCTACTATAATCACAAACAAATGAAATCTGCATTGAGCCCACATTCTTTTTTGAAAACTGCCTAGTGGGACAGATGTTTTTAAAAATTTTTTTGTTGTTGCTAATGGACTACTTATTTATTTATTGTGCCGAAAATTGAACCCAGTGCCTCACACATGGTAGGCAAGTGATCTACCACTGAGCTAAAACCCAGCCGAGTAGGACAGATTTTACTGGCATCCTTGCTATCCTTATTCTGTTTTCAGACAACAAGATGAAAAACACTTTCTTTTACATATGTAAAAGACTAGGAAACCGGTACACTTTTTTGGGGGGGGGATTGAATGGAGGGGTGATTATCCACTGAGCCATAGCCTCAGCCCACTTTTAATTTTGAGAAAGAGTCTCTTTAAGTTGCTTAGAGCCTTCTTAGCTAAGTGGCTAAAGCTGGCTTTCCTGTAAACTTCTTTAGAGTATAACATAGTTAAACTTCCAGTCTGTTCATGGTTTTGACAAACTAAACACAGACTAAACTAAAGGTAAAACAAAGGGTGCAAAATAATTGGGAAAGATTAACTGAGAAGAATTTAACCATATTGCAATTAGTAAATCTAGATGAAAGCAAGTTCAATTTTAGCACCCATGTTCAGTTTTCTGCTTTAAACCTAAGTTTGTTTCTGTTTTATCTCAGTTTTTAAAATTATATATGGCATGAAGATATACTCTCTTCAGTGTTGGGGCACTGAAATAGATGAAATGAATACAAACATGGGTATCAATTATTTTGCAAACAGGTACTGGGTATTTTTTATGTGACAGGCATAGGTATATGCAATGCATAAGTAGTATAAAGTAGTATATAAAGAGAAAATTAGACACTGATATGGTAATGAACAAAACTAAGTCACATTCCACATGAAATACACATTCAGCATCCTTTATCAGTTCTCTAGTATCACTGTTAGGGAACAGACAAACATAAATGGTAGGAACACAAGGTTAAGAAAATCATTTTATAAATTGGGACCACTGTTGCTGACCCTTATATGCTTTCTGTTTCACGAAGCAATTTACCTGTAGCCCTGCATGGCCTCAGTGGACAGGCTATGTCACATTCCACAGCAAACTACCTGTTCACTGCAGGAGAAATGCAGAACCAAAATAATGTGGATAAGAGGAATCCATGTTACCCTGAAGGAGACTTTTGTGACCAGATCCTGAAACTCTAGGAGATAAGGATAGCTCCTCCTAACCATAAAATCTGTAAGAATGTATGGTTAAGAATCCAATTAGAACTGCTTAGCATGGGCCAAAGTGACCTAGAGCTGCCATGACAGTGGAGACTTGAAAGTATGATGTCACCCTGCTGTCAGTCAAAAGTTAAGAGGTGGACCTGCGCAAGGCTCTCTGGAAACTTCCCTGGGGTCCCCAACAAAACTGGAGTGCAGGGGGGCTGGGGATGTGGCTCAAGCAGTAACGCGCTTGCCTGGCATGCGTGGGGCGCTGGGTTCGATCCTCAGCACCACATAAAAATAAAGATATTGTGTCCACCGAAAACTGAAAAATAAATATTAAAAAATTCTCTCTCTCTTCTATCTTAAAAAAAAAAAAAAAACTGGAGTGCAGGAGAGGCACATTGTCCCTCTCTGAGAGGACCCACTCTCTCTCTTAAGAGTGTCCTCTTCTCCTCTTTTCCTGTCAATAAACTTTCCCCCTTTTCCCTTTAGTAAATTCATTCCTATTACTCTAAGCAACATTTCTGAAATCTTTCTGACTAGATCACAAGAGTAGGGGCTTGAAAGTAGGTCTTTACACTGCCTCAGTTTCTCGGAAGGCCTCAGCTCTGTAACACCACCATCACAGCAGCAAAAATTAGGAGAGGTCTGATTGTTAAGCAACAATCAAACCCTCCTCTTACAAACAGTTCATAGTTTCAGGTCTTACTTAAGTCACCATTAAGTAAGCCCTCTAGTAAACTTTGATACAGAAAGTTTATTTTACAACTTTTGCAACTTCTCTGTAGAATTAAATTTTCCTCAAAAAAATTTAAGGAATTTTGACCATGAAGATTAAATTAATGAATATAAATGATTGCTCCAAAAAACAAAAACCAACAAAGAAGTTCCTATAGTGTGAGTACTACATGACAACTAAACAGAATTCTTTTCAACAGCATCCTAATAGTTTCAACAGACATTACATAGTTAAAGTAAATGGAATTACCTTTGGGTTTTTCTAAAAGTCTCTGACATGTTTCTTTGACTTTGGTAAAGAGCTCAGAACCTGCCAGCTTTTTAGAAATTCCAACTCTTAGCATAACAGCTCCAGGTGTGAATTTTAAGAGTGCAGCCCCAGGTTCTCGTGGTTCTTTTGGATGTTTTGGCATAAGACCAGACCAATCCACATCTATCACATCTAATGGATCTGTAAAAAAATTAAATAATACTTTTCTTTACATCAAAAAATAAAGAAGCCTTAACTACAGAGAAATAGATTTGCTCCTTGGTAACCATCTATGGATTCAACTAACTATAGATAAAAAAATATATATTTACAGAAAAGTCTGAATTGAACATGTACAGCCTTTTATTTCCTTATAATTATTCCCTATACAATACAGTCTAGCAACAAACTATAACACATTTACATTTTAGTAGGTATCAGAAGTAATCTAGAGATGTTTTAAAGCATACAGGAGGACGTGGATACATTACATGCAAATACTGAGCCATTTTATATAAGAGAATTGAGCATCTGCAGATTTTGTGTGCAGCTCATGATGTCAATCTCCTATGGATATGGAGGGATGACTGTATAAATCAAGTAAGCACAGCCTTAACTCATAAATAAATAAAGTCATTTTCTTAAAATTTCAGCTTTCTCATAAAAATGAATATTTAGAATCTTAAAACTCTCCACCAAAAGAAAACAGGTAAGCTAACCCTACAAAATAACTCATTTAAAAATTAAATGAGAGATTACCAATGAAAGAACTCCATTATTTCACTAAGATAAGGCCTGATATTTTGAAACTTGGTACCAGAATCATATCAAGGATTAAATCTAGGAGCATATTTAGTTTGCCTGTATGCACACATACATACATTATAGAGGAAATAATTTATTATGAAATTTCTTTAAGAATCAGACAGTGACTATTATTAACAGTGAGAGTGAATAATCCATCAAGAAGAAAGAGCTGAAGAAATATAATAATGTTCTATTTAGAAATATCTAATACCAACAAATGACAAATATAATAATTATATCTTCCACATTAGTATGAAAATTTGTGAAATACGAGCAGAGAAAAAATAAAAATAAAAATTTTGTACAAACAAACAAAAAAGGTTGGGAGTACTCAGAAACAAATTGATACAACTGAATGATAATGTCAAGGAATGTTGTTTCATGGGATAGTTACTTGAGTAAGCTCTGGCAATGTATAAGTACAATAAATAAAAATAATAATTACTGAATTTAGAAAACTGAAAGAAGTTATAAAAGACTGCTCAAATACCACCTCTGCAAATGATTACCTGGCATCTTCTCTTCATCCTGTTGGTCCTCTCTCTTTTCTGCATCACCTGCCAGAATTTCATCTAGTTCATCATCACTAATTGGCTCATATCCTTCTCCAGCACCAGATCCTAATGAATGTGCATCATCTAACTTGGATTCATCATCTCCTGCTAATACACAAATTCATTTCATGTTAAAAAAAGTATTTAAGGGAAGGGATGCCTAAATCAAACAAAAATGTAAAGGCTGTACACACTGTAACAATGTGAAAAGCATTTTTTTAAACAGAAAGCTATCTTTTTAAACTAGTCAAACACTTCATAGTTTCAAAAGCAAACTAAAAAATAAAATTGAATTAACTAAATTTATTTTAGTAGTTAAGAACACAAAACGAACAGCAATTATCAGATAAGGTCACAATTAAAATATCAAAAATAAAAAGATACCACTAATACACTAATATTGATTATGTGTATTGTGTTAATTTTTGACAATAAAACTTTCACAATCAGAAAAATCTTCTAACTTCAAAAGACTGTAATAATTTCTTTAGCTGAATAAACTCATTATTAAAAAAAAAAAAAACTTGCTTTTTTTTTTTGGTGGGGTAGAACTAGAGATTGAACCACCAGGCACCAGGAGTATTCTGCCTCTGCGCTACATTCCCAACCCTTTTTATTTTGAGACAAGTTCTTACAAAATTGCCCAGGTTGGCCTTGAACTTGAGATCCTCCTGTCTCAGTCTCTTGAGTAGCTGGAGTTACAGGTGTGTGCTACCACATGCCTGGTTCGTTGCAAATTTACTTTAAAAAGATATTTTAAACTTAAGTCTTAGTTCATGATAGAAGAACTTTCTAGCAGTGAGGTAAAAATGTGAAGAATCATTAATTCTCTTCCCTATCCCAACATTTTCATCTAATTAATGAATGCAATTTTAGAAGAATGCTATAATATAACTTAAAAATATTTTTGTTGGTATTTCTACTTTTCTCAACTAGTATGTATGCTAAACTTTGTCTCCTGGTGAGTTAGTTAGAAGTTTACTCCCCAAATTACTAAGTATGTCCAATGTTTCTACTGGCAATCTATATACTTTATGGAATCTAAAACCCTTACTTTCGAATGGCAACACTATGGTGCATGGGTATGAATGTGCACCAAATAAAATTTGAGGCTACAAAATGTTTCTAGTCATTCTGATAATTTTTTGTTCTATTAAATTCTATAAAAATTTCCCCATATCCCCACAAATTCATTTCTAAGACAACCCATTTTAATAATTGGTCATATAAATATGTATCTAAACATAAATGTAACAGCATTTTTAAATTTTTAAGCTTATACAACTCATTTTCCTACTTTAAGTGAACACATATATCATACAGCAGATGATTTACCTCTAAATGTCTATGCTGTATTATCTGTAGTTGCAACTAAAAAATGGTAACATTTTAGGAATGAAGGACACTGACACACAAGAGCTATTATAATAATTAGTTCAATATATCCCAAGGTTGGGCCTACATCAGAATCACGGCTCATGATATGATGCTATTTATACTTAAACTTGAGATGAAAACATAATATGAAAAAAACCCAGTAGAAATGTTTAAGTCAAATAGAACAAAAATATGTATAACAGATAGCATATAAGATGTCTAATCTGTTTTTAAAAGTCGTGGATTTTACTATAGGCCAAATGCTGTCACGACAAATTAAAAACAAAAAAATCATAATCTTAGTGCTTGGAAATAGGAGGTTATGTTAGAACAATGATTCAAAAACTGATACCAGAAATGGAGAGTCTTAGGAAGGCAGAAATTTCAGGAGAATTCTCAGAGGGGCCATTATCCCTATTAACCTAGGCTATAATTCACCAAGAAGTAAGATGTGGGGTATACATGTACAGACACAACACATCTTCATTCATCAGCTATTGATAAAAAGGAGTACAGTACAATGGGGAGAAAAATCATAAAAAAAATTACAATACTGTATGGGGAATACTATAAAAGATGTACAAACAAGGTGCTGTTAAGAATGTGAAAGTGCCTTTTGCACAGGTGGCTTCATAGAGAAAATAACTGAGAAAGTCTGAGTAAGGAGGAGATGATGTAAGTGCAAAGGTCTATCCGGAAATGGGAAGAACAGGTACTAAAAAGGGATACAGAAAGGAAAGGCATGAATCAATTTGTCTAGTTTATTGTAGGCAAATATTCTGAGATAGTACATAAGCAGTAATTTTTTTTTATTATTTGTATCTGCCATATGATAGCTTTTGGCCTATAGTTTATAAATGTAGATCCTTGTATCTCTTAGTTATCTGATTAGATATCTCAGTATGCCATCTGTTTTATATATATATCTCTACCTTTCCCCCAGCTCCAATTTGGCTTGACCAAAACAATTCTACCTCAGATTCTTTTTTTTTTTTTTTTTTGGTACCAAGGATTGAACCCAGGGGCGCTTAACCACTGAGCCACAACCCTAGCCCTTTTTTGGTATTTTATTTAGAGACAGGGTCTCTCTTGAGTTGCTTAGGGCCTCACTAAGTTGCTGAGGCTGGCTTTGAACTCAAGATCCTCCTGCCTCAGCCTCCTGAGCCACTGAGATTATAGTAGTGCACCACCGAGCCCAGCTCTACCTCAGATTCTTTACATTACTGAATATAACTAATCACTGCAATTGCGCTCCTACAATTGAAGCTGGAGTCTCCTTAACCTGATAATAAAAGTCAGTTTATCTAGCAAAGTGGTAGTGAAGAATGAAGAATAGGGGCAGTATAGAGTGAGGTTCCACAGAGCCAAGACTGGCTCAGACTGGGCCAAAGTGTTCATGCTGACTTCTCTGCATTCCTGTTCTAGGACTGAGGAATGCCAGGAGGGCTCTACAGTTGATCTGCCATTAAATGCAGTTTTAGCAGGTTTTATTATTTCATATATTTGTTCTCAGTTGCCCTAGAAAAGAGGAACCTCTAATAGTTATGTGAATCCTTCTTGAACTAAAATGTCAATTTTTGTGATTTTATTTTATTCTTAACATTTAAGAAAAAGGATGTGATGGTTATTCTTCAAAATCTGTGGACATTGTACCTAAGCAATGTTTCAATGGTTGGGCATAAACAGAACTGAATATTTCATTCTTCGATCTCTCTTTTTTTTAAAAATTGATTTTGTTTTTTAAATACATGACAGTGGAACGCATTATAATTCTTATTACACATATAGAGAATGATTTCTCATATCTCTGTTTGTAGATAAAGTATGTTGACACCAATTCATGTCTTCATACATTTACTTTAAATAATGATGTCCATCACATTCCACCATCATTGCTAACCCCCTGCTCCCTCTCTTCCCCTCCCATCCCTCTGCCCTATCTAGAGTACTCACTTTTTATTTCAAGAACTATTTCTTTTATTTCATTAGGATTATTTTAACCCAAATTTGTACTAGAGGGAAAGACATATTTTAGTATCACAGGAATTTTCCTTATGAATCTACTTTCTCTAATGAAATCAATTTGCCTTTCAAAAGAAAATATTTACTTCACATGAAATTGGAAAAGGAATGGAGCATATGAGATGTCTAATCTGTTTTTAACAGAGAAAAGGGTGAGGCACTCACCTTCCACACTCTCAGTTCTCTCAGCTTTATTCATATCTTCAAATCCTTGCACAGATCCCAGTTCTTTATCCATTCTTTCTTTATCCAAAGTTAGAGTGTCTCTGGAAGCGGCTTCCAGGTCTCTTTCATGTTCACTCTCCAGTTTTGCTTCACTGCGTTTCACAGACTCTATCTGAGAAGAAATCTCAAAAGTTCTATCTCTATCTCTGTCCCTTTCAACAGATTCAGGAATTAGTCTCTCTCTTTCCCTGTCCAGGTCTCTCCTTTTGTCTCGCTCTCTCTCGCGTTCCCGCAATCTATCTCGATCTCTGTTCCTTGGCCAGTCTTTATCTGCTTCTCGGTCCCATTCTCTTGGCCTTGTATCCCTCCTCTCTCTCTCCCTCTCTCTATCATGCTCATATCGATCTCTTTCTTGAAGCCTATCTCTGCTATCAAAAGACCCAGATCTTGAATGGACTTGCCGATCTGACTCAGGAGAACTTCTTCTTGAACTATGGCTTCTTGAATCCTGGCGATCTATAATAAATATGCCACATACAAAAATTAACAGTAAACAGAAACAAACTACTTCATTTTAGAATCTTTTAAAGTTACAATTTACTTGCCAATATATTTTCTCAATATTTTCAATGTTCTATATACTCTGTACGTTCTACATACACATTTCTCTACATACATATACAAAGAACTCATTTTAGGGACAAATTTCTCTCTCTCAAGGGGTTAATCAAAGTATGTTTAAAAAATTTCCTTGTCAGCCGAGTACAGTGGTGCACACCTATAATCATTCCTAGCAACTTAAAAGGCTGAGGCAGGAGGATTACAAGTTCAAGGCTAGACTTCAGCAACTTTGTGATACCTTGTCTCAAAATAAAATATTAAAGAGAGCTGGGGATATAGCTCAGTGGGAGAGCAGCCCTGGGTTCAATCCCCAGTACCTAAAGAAAAAAAAGGTTTCCTTGTCTATTTCCAGTACAAAAATATCTTGAAATATGTACATAAAATGGTTAGATATTAATATGTATTTAATTCTTTGACTTCTCTTTACTCTCCTATCTTATTTTCTGAGGCAAAAAGAGCAGTACTGGCTATAGAAAGAATAGCAGGAAGGTTACATTTGCAAATGTTGATATAGGACTGGAGTAGAGAGCCTTTTCACCAAATCATATCATTAAAATCCTAACATTAAACTGTTAATAGCACTGAATGTATCTCTATTATAACATTGGTCTTAAAGTGATAATGGATGAGACTTTAAAGGGATAATGAAAATAAATGATGATTTCTTAATGGGATGAATAAGCCTCCTCCCACACAAAGTTCCACAAAATTAAAAAAAAGATTAGCCATCACATTAAAAAGCATGTATAAAAAGTAACTAGGCATTACTTTAGCATTATAATTTGTATAAAATATACTAACACAGGAAACAATGACTAGATCATAATTTAATTTTATTACCTGAAGAAGTACTTCGGCTAGGCTCTCCACGCTTTAACTGGTCAATCCTAGATTTTCTCTCTCCTGTGATTTCTAGACTTTTTGTTTTTTCTCTATCTCTTGAACCACTATGCAGCACTCTCTTTCGACTACCTTGGTCATCCCCACTTCTATGCGCAGAATCATTGGATGGAGAGCGCAGACGGCCAGAGGTGTGACTACGATTACTCCGATTACTCCCAAGGCTGCTGCTCCTCTTTTGATCCACTGGCTTTCGATGTGGTGTATCTTCTATGGTTACATGAGGTGCCTCTACTTTTTCTACTCGTGTCCTATGGCATTTTCTGTGTGACTCTTCATTGGCAAAAGTAGCACTGGTAGTGTTGGTGGGGTTCGCAGAGGTGGAAATGGAGGTGGAGGAGGCAGTAGCAGCAGTAATAGGAGTAGAGGCAAGAGCAGCAGAGGCAGCTGTACTAGCACTAGCCAAAGGAGGTGGAGGAGGGAGAAGAGAAGATAGAGGAGAAGGGGTACTACCAGGAGTAGCAGCAGAGGCAGCATGCTCTGATTCTGTCACCTCTGTACGGTCAGGCACATCCTCATCAGACCAGTCACTAAAGGCTGTATCTTCTTTCTTCTGAGGATCCTCTAGCATACCATCCTTATCGTTGGAAATTTCAACTAAATCCTCTTTGGTTGTCATAGGGGGAGTTCGTGGCCCTCTTTTCTTCTTATTTTGCTGGGCTGCTTCTTCATCAGAAATATCAGAATCACCTTTGGATCTTTTACGTTTTTTTTCAACATTTTTCTTCTTCTGTCCTTTTTTAGGGGAGAAGACTTGACCATCTTCAGATGTTGTCTCAATGTTACTCCTCTCTATTCCAATATCATCCTCTTTCTTTTTCTTGATAGGTTTCTTCTGAACTTTTGCTTTTTTCTTATTTTCCTCATGAGCTCGATCAGATATGTCTCGATCTTCAGACTGGTGGTGGCCAATCATGTCTTGTGTACGTGCTCTTGAGCTTTCCAAGATTTCTGTCTGTTCTCTCTGCTTTTCTACAGAAGAAACTTTCTCTTTGAGTTCTTGCTCTTCATAGCGCCTTGAACTCTCTTTTCTTTCTGGTTTACGATCTTCTTCTTTCCATCTACTCTGCCTATCTTCAGGGAGATGTGATGGGCTGAGAGAGCGAGATTCTTGAGGTCGTACAACCTGGCTCAAGAGTCTGTGTTTTTCATCTATACAAAAAGAGAAAAATAATCACATATTCACCAGGTGAATAAACACTGCACAATACATTTAAATAACAATTAGACAATCTCTCACTTTTCATCTGAAAACTTTTCAAATGACAGACAAAAGCCTACTATTTGGATTTAACTACAAATGGTAGGAAAAGACAATGCCATTATGATAAATGATATACTTCTCAAACATACTTTAATCACATAAGGAAATATTTAGAGGCAGTAGATCCAGAAAACTTTTTAAAAAATCTTAACTTGTCAGTTCCAATCAGTGTCAAAGAATGGTCTCATAGTAAATGAGTACGAATACAGAGACACAGAAAACAAAAAGTGCTCACTTTTATCATCTCCACTGTTGTAAGTGTCACTGTCAGGAGAATGTTCACGCCGACGCTTAGGTGACTGCCGAGGACTGGGACTCCCTTCATTTCTATAGCGCTTCCTAAATTGGGCAAACAAATACAACTTATAAAATTCTAAAGGGTGAAGATTTCTTTACTATGTTTTTTATTAGTATATTTTACTATAACTTATAATTATAGGAAAGCAATATTGTCAAAGCTGTATCATACAAAGGGTATTTGGTATCTTTAATTAAGATTCATTATTTCATTTGCTAATACTTCAAATTGTAGATTTAAAATACATGGCAACATTTCTTTCTTTCATTATTCATGGAAAATCATTCAAGTGAAAATTGCCATATTTAAATACTGCAAAATGATAATATACAGTTTTGTGAAATCAATAAACTAATGTACCCTCTAATATAAACATTAACCAATTTTACATTCTTATGATATAGAAATTACTTTGTGCAGGGAAAACAGATAAGAAAATCTAGTATTAGTTTTGGAATAAAAAAGCTATGAGTTCAATTTATAGCCACATTACTTATTATGCAGCCTTAAGTAAGTTCCTTAATTTGTCATCTGAAGTTAGGGAGAAAATAGCTCATTAAACTGCATTAGTTATGTCATAAGCCCAGTGCCAGGCATATTATTTGTACATTGTAAAAAATAACTTCCTTTTTCCTTCATTGAATTAAAATCACTTTCTTGGTGATAAGTAAATAATTAAATAAGTAAATAATTCATATATTCATTACATTTCTTTTTCCTTAGTTGAGTTTAAAATAAATACTGATTTATTCATCTTGGTTCTTAAATTATTCCAGTATTTTCTTACATTTTTGTTACATTTGGACTACTTATTTTTTATCAACATTGTTTGTTTATAAACATTACAGTCAAAAGTTGAGAACGATGCTGCAGCACATCCATTGGGACAGCTTCTTTTGAGTGACCAAGTGAAGAAGGCAGTCCCAGGAGTACTGTAACAACTCACAGGCCTCAGCTTGTGCAAGTCCTTATCCAAAGCTTCCACCATCAATTGGTGGCCTACTTCCTCACTCTTTAAATCTGGGCAGGACTAGTGACTTGCTACATGACAGAAGAATGTGGTAAAAGTTACACTGTACAAATCTAGAGAGGACCCAAGAAGCTTTACAGATTCTGCTTTTGCTTTCCAGGTATGCTCTATTATTGTACACAAAAACAAAATTTAGACTACTGGAGGATGAAAAGTCAAATGGAGGACAAATAAGGTGCCCCAAATGCCAGACATGTGAGTAAGGACACCTTGAATCATCTGGGTACGGTTGAACTGTCAGGTCAATTGTAGACACACAGTTATCTCAAGAAGGACCAGCAGAATATACTCTGCTAAGTCCACGTAAAATCATTCATCCACAGAATCATAAGCAAATAAATGGTGGCTGTTTTAAACGACTAACTTTTGAGACAATTTAACACAGTAATAAATAATTGATTGATACACTAGAATAAAGTGAATATTTGAAGTATGATAAAAATGATTCATAATTATTTTTATGAAACAAAATTAGAGTAAAATGAATACTATGGTAATGCAGCAAACCTAAATAACTTTTTAAAAGTGCTGGATAAATTCAAACTACTGAGATGAAAGTATAAATAACAACTAAGTTAAGATATTAATATTATTTAACTAGTTTTTCTTATTGGTTTGTTTGACTTCTAAGTTTCTAGGGTCAGTCCCAACTCTTGGGATTTTCATGGCTAATTAGTCATGAAAAAAACAGAAAAACTGTTGCTTATTATAAGCAGAAATGAGAAGTATGAAAAAAATACTAATCAAAGCAGAGAAGTGGAGAAAAGACACATAAAGATTTGAGAATTATAATTATAGAAGATAGAGAGATGTAAAAGTCAGAGAGAGAAGAAAATATTATGTATGTTTGCCTACATGTGACAAAGGAAGTATCTCTGAAGCTCATTTTAATGTAAAATTTTTAATATGTGGGGAGAGGGAAGCAGGAAAGTAAGGTGGAGAGTACATTACAATAATTTTGGTTGCAGATTAAAGAGCAGAATGAGTGCCAAGAAAATATCTTTTGGCCCTAATAATCACATTCTGCTCTTTAATCTGTAACCAAAATTTATTGTAAAGTACTCTCCACCCGAGGTTCCACTTTGGTGCTGAATTGTACGCCAATAATTCAGAAAAGCAATGATGGAACTGGCTTAGCCAAGAACTGTCTACTCCTCAATCAATGAGAGCCCCAATACAAAGAGGACTGCTAAAGTAGGTACAATTCTAACGCCAACAAAGGCATCATTTGGAGATAAATTTGATGAGACTAGAATCAGCACAGATGGAAACAGTGGAGAGATATCATTCCTATAATAACCTGGTTAGAGCCACATCAGAACAAATCAAAGCTAACCCTCAACTTCCTAGATACCTAAACAAATAATTTCTTTTGATGAAGGTGGGGAGAAGGGTGAGGGGAGAGAGAGAGAGGTGAGACAGAGAGAAAGAAAATAAAGAAATAAGGAAGGAAGGAAGGAAGGAAGGGAGGGAGGGAGGGAGGGAGGGAGGGAGGGAGGAAGGAAGGAAGGAAGGAAGGAAGGAAGGAAGGAAGGAAGGAAGGAAGGAAGGAAGGAAGGAAATGCGCTCAGATATATTCTATGAGATGCCAAGAAAATATCTTTTGGCCCCAATAACCTACTATATATCTTCACAGCATGAGAGGACACTTCCTTATCTCTCATCTTCTAGCTACACAACAATTATAGGAATTCTTAGGTCCTATAATACTGTGAATTGTTTCCTGTAGCCTAGAGGTGTGACTCCATATTTACAAGCATAAGAAACTCAGGCAGTATCTCTTGGTGACTAGCCATCATCATTAACTAGTTATCAAGAGGAAGTAGTGGGACACAAGTTCACTATCACTTTTATGTTGGATTCCTCCTAAAAAAGTCTATACAAGTCAAGAAAGCTCATATGCCATAAAAAATGCACAGGAAATAAGAAAGAGTATTCTATGGTTTGGATGTGGTTTGTTCCCCAAAGGTTCATGTATTAGAGGCTTGGTTCTCCATGTGGTAGTGCTGAGGTAGCAGAACCTCTAAGAAATGGGGCACTGCCCTTGAAAGGGATTAATGCTGGTCTCTCAGAATGAGTCGGCTCAGAGCCAGGCCAATCTTTCACTTGGCCTGTTCTGTTTCTTCACCATGTTTTAATACAGCCAAGGGAGCCCTCACCAGATGTTGAACAAATAGGGTTGCTTGATCTTGCACACACAAGTCTCTGAGCTAAATAAGCTTGTTTTCTTTATATATTACCCAGCTTCTAAACAAATTATTACAGATTAATTATAGACCCTGGATTAAAATATAAAATAAAAAATTATTTTCTAGATAATTAGAGAATTTACACCATTTTATTTGTATATAATAAATTTGACTCACAAAAAGAGAAGACAAGATTTAATAGAAAATTAAGGGAACACTGAAAAGCATTAAATGAAACTTATGAATTCTTTACTGAAATGAACTTTCTAAAATTGATTCATATCATTCTTACTTTGATTTTCTCTCATCATGTCCATCTCTCGGATTGCGATCTTCTCGAATATCTTCTCGCTTTTCTCTACGGTCATCTCGTCCCTTGTCCTTTTCTTCCCAATCCCGCTGACGTTCTCGTTCTTTATCCCTTTCTCTTGCTCTTTCTCGTTCCCGTTCTCTCTCTCTTTCCCGTTCTCGCTCTCTCTCCCTCTCTCTTTCTTCTCTTTCTCGCTCCCGTTCTTTTTCCCTGTCTCGCTCCCTCTCTCTTTCCCTCTCTCGGTCATGATCGCGGTCTCTCTCTCTTTCACGTTCTCTCTCCTTTTCTCTTTCTCTTTCTCTCTCCCGTTCCCTAGCACGCTCTCTTTCTAGTTCTCTTTCTTTTTCTCTTTCCCGATCTCGTTCACGTTCCCTCTCTCTCTCCCGCTCCCTGTCTCGTTCCCTATCTCTCTCTCTAGCCCTTTCATCTCTTCTATCATCCACTCTGTCTACTCTTCGTTCCTCTCTTCTTTCATCACGCTCAAGCTCGTCATTCCTTCCCTGATGTCGAATTGGTGAGCTTGGTCTTTGATCTACAATGAAAATCAAGTTTTGTCAGTGATTAATTTAATAGATAACCTATAGGTTATACAGCATGGCAAATCTTAAATTTTATCTGTGTATATATGGGTCACAGTGGCAACAAATTATAAATCAAGTTCTATATTTACTTTAAATTTAATCATCCAAATATTAATCACCCCTAGACCTTTAAAAATTATTTTCTTAAATATATTTTCAATTTCCCTCTAACTACCATGTTTTCTGCTCCCCATCAACCCCCAACACCCTCCCACTTATCCACCTTTGATCTTTCTCTGCATGCTCCCTACCCTACCTCCAGCCCACTGCTCCAACCCCGCTTTCTGCCATCTCTACCCTTCACCTCTGATCTTCTCTGTCCCCCCAGCAGGACCTGAGAACACTGGTGGCAAAGGATAGGGGCAGCAGGAGGTGTAGAACATAGGAGCTGAAGGAAAAAAAAAATTTCCCTCGTAAGTCACACCTCTAATTTCAGGCCAAAATATATACACATCAAAGTGCAGCTATTATGTGAGGAAAATATTGTAGAACAAACTAAACTAGAATTAAGGGTACTGAAGGCTAACAATCTTGGAACAATCAAATGTAAAAAGTGTTTCATATCAGTGATATATATTTATAATTACCTAACTGCTAATAAAAGTTTTATTTAATCATATAAATGAATACTCAGATAAAAAGTTGTTGTCCTAAAATGTTAAATGATAATCTCAATCACATTTTATATATTTTTTCCAATCTACACACAAATCACACAAACACAGAGAAATGAATACACGCTGCTTAAATAACCACTTGAGCAATAAAATTAATTAGTCTGGGATCAAAAAATGTATAAAAGGATGGCATCAACTTTTCCCCAGAGCCATGTTTAAAGCAAATACTGTGGCATAATCTAGGCTATTGAGATGTTTCTACTTCTGTGCCATACAAATATGTCTAACGATTAATCAATGAAGATCAAACTATACTATGTCCAATGGATTGGTAAGTGAAACATCTAACATCAACTTATTAAGCAGAAAAATTTTGGAATATTTCCAGAGAAGGAGTTAATATAGTAGCTTAAATTCCTTAACACTATGAAAAGATTATGCATAGTTACTATTTGGAGGTTAGATTCAGAATAAAAAGGAATTTTAAAGCTAGAAGAAAAAAATGAAATCTTATATAGTCTTTTCTTGTCTTTCTTCTTAAAAAACATAAATTATGGTCCAAAAGTGATTTTGGTGACTTGCCAGTTACAGAGATGGTAGATGCATTAGGACTTTAGGACTAGAAAATCAATTTTTCCTAAATCTTTTTATTTTTGCTGAAACTAATTTAAATTAAAGTGGTTCTATTGTTATATATCTATGTTTTAGATTGTCTAAATTCCTGATTTGGGGATCATAATCAAAATCATAATTACAAATAACCTGAAACATTTAATACTGCAACTTACATTAATTCATATTTGAAATTTCTGAATAAAGGAATGTCAGGGAATAGACTACTCAGACACTTTCTAGGCAGATAAAACCTTTATTCTCACATACAAAATGGCAATGTCCCTAATTTCAAAGGAAAATGGAAAGAATACAAGAGCACCACTCTTAACATGTCTAAACTATCTTCCAAAATATGTTCTTAAAAGATGTGCTTTCTTCACATATTTCTTAAGTAACAACAAATCTATTAATTACAGCTGGCAACTTTTGAATTATCCAAATATTGCCATACCCCAAATACTATCAATTTCATTTCTAGAATCTTTCTTTTCCTTTCACTATCTCTACAGTTACTATATTAACTCAGACCTTGATCAGCTCTTCTCAGATGATTATGTTATCAACAGTCTATCTTTGCCTTCAGTTTTTCCCCAGATACTTAATATGTTTTTGATGAAAACTCTATTTGTTCCATCTGCTTAAAAGCAGTTATCTTATACACAGTGAAAAGCAACTGAATTCAAAATGTTTAGCCTGACTTATTAGGTCATTTACAACCTGGTCTATATAGTGTCTTATCAGTCCTCTTCCCTGGCTGCTTTCCTTCCCTACTAATCATAACATACCTCTACTCCAACCTCACAACATAATTCTTTATTCCTCCAAAGCATATGATTCTTTTAGTCCTGTGTGTCTGCTTATGTTGCACCTCTGCTGGAAAATACTTTTTCCATTATTCCTTCTAGCAAACTTAAATATTCTGAAGGCCCTAATTCAGACGTCCTCTTCCTAATTAAAGCACCTTTCTTGGAATTCTGTTTGGTCCTTTGTCTTCTCATAGAAGTTTACATAGCACTAACAATTATATTTTAGTTGTCTATTTGTACTAGACTGTGAAGGTCAGATCTAAAGGAAAGATTTAAATTTCTGAGGACAGAACAAAGTACTTGTGTATATCTCTACCCTTAACCTCTATGAATCCCCTACTACTCACTATACTTTAGCCACATTAGTCTTCTTTCTAATTCTAAGACATGTCGGGCTATTTCCCACCTCAGAGCATTACACCTGCTCTTTTCATGGGATGCTTTTTGTCTTTGAAAAACTAGCTACTTCTCTTGCATTTATGCCTCTACATAATTTTTTTTTCAAGTTGTTCATAAACACTACACAACAGGTTCTCTTATTCTTTATTTCTATCTGGGGCTACTGTTTGTTTCCTTGATAACCTCAATAATCAGTTATTTTAGCGAGGAGAGGGAGAATCCCCACCTCTCTGCCCCACTTTAAGTTCTATAAGGAAAGAACTATTATATATTAGCAAAGTGCCTGGCATGGGTACTAAAGGCACAGAATATATCATTAACCTCAAAAATAGGTTTCTCTTTTAATCATACATTTGATATTCACTGAAGTAGTTATACTAAAATAAATCAGAAAGATAACTGGACTTGTAGTCAGAAGACCAGAGTTTGAATTCCAGCTTTGAAATTTCCTTCCTGTAATACTGGTAACTTAACTTCTCTTAGATCTAATCTCTTAACTGTGAAACATGGATTATTTTATCATATATATATCTATATATACATATATATGTGTATATATACACATATATATACATATATATGTGTATATATACACACACACACACACTCACAGGGACGTTGTAAAAATTAAGCTAAAAATATATATTTAAAGTAACTATCAAAGTTTCTGACACCTAGTAAAAGCTTAATATGTGTGGTTAAACTAAACACAAGATTGAAACCAAATCTTCCTATAGAATTTAGGCATGAAATGAGGAAAAACCTGAGCTAGGATGTGAAAACAGAAATAAAGTACCAGGACACAGTGAAGAAAGGTTGTCAAAGAGCTAAGGAAGAAACAATTTCAGAAACACAAAACGTATAAACTCCAACCCTATCTATAGTTGAGGAAATCCTACACATCTTTTAAACCAAGTGCACTGGGCTTACCTTTAACAAACAACCCAACCAACTCTCCTGTGTCTAATCTTATCCCAAAAGTAGATGATGTCTTAGAGACTTTGCTCTCCTTCTATTACCACCCATATCAATATAGGAAGATAGTTTTTTGATTCAACCCACACTAAAGCACCAATATTCAATCTTCTGGTCCACAAAATTGCATACTATTTTAATCTCAGCATTATAGCAAACTTTACTTTAGAAATCAGCCAAGATAAGTGAGACCTTCTTCAGATTTTAAATGTTTAAAGGTCCTAACATGTACAGGCAATAAAAGCATGCTAAAGAAAGTGCTTACAACCCTTAAGGGCTTCCTAGTAATTCAGTTTCAAAATTGAGTTTTAAGAGATCATCTAATTAATGGAAAACTTTAACTTACGACAGCTAAGAATATAAATTAACCAGAGCAAATATTATATATTTTCAGAACAGACTATAAACAAAATGTTTCACTGAACAATCTCTAGCCCTATCTCTTTCCTTGTTCCTCTTTCACATTCCTTATAAGACTCTATTGATCACAGCTAATGAGTAAGTAGGCAGGATCCTTAGTTGAAGATTTAGGTATTTCCTGAATCAGAACTGCCTGGGATGGCTCTAATCACCTACACTTTTAAAAGAGTTGTGAGCAATTTGGTTAAGATGAGAAACATGCAATAGAGCCTCCCCCCATTCTTATACTTTGCTGCCTGAGGTACTGATAGCTGTCTATTTACATAATCCCTCCAACAGCAATTCAACAAAGACTATATGAATAAATAGCTTCAAATGATCATCAAGCACATATCTTAAAAGACACTTTACATTAAAAAGTAAATCAATATTCACAAAAAGTAAATTGATAACCATTTTAAAAACAGTTTTCTTTATAGAAGTTGGTTACTATATAATAAAATTCTGTTTGACAAACCTCGATCTCTGTTGTCGCGACGATCTCTCTCTCCGTGTCTTCTCTCAAAGGAAGAATCCCTTGCTTGATCTCTGTTGTCTCTTTCCAGATATCTATCTCTTTCAGGATAGCTACTCCGAGTTTCCCAGCTGTCATGATAGTTGCTACTACTACTGTGACTATCAATTTGAGAACCTCTCGAGCCTCGACTTCCTAAACAAAGGATATTCACACAACTATTTAACACATAAACAATATTCAACAAGTTTGTCAGTCACAATCCTTTTTCCTAAAAAAACACTAATTTTTTTTTTTTTTGGTATTCCAAAATGTGGTATTCATTTTTTAAAGAACACTAAGCAGTATATCAGAAACCTAAACTGTTCAATAACTGACTACAGTAAGATAAGTTCCAGTGTTCCCTCTCTGAAAATAAGTCCTATAATAGAAACAAAGTAAGACTGACTTAATGCAGAAAACAACAAAGTGAAAATGATTTTTTTCATATCTAATTCATAAAAATATCATGAAAATAATTAAATAAATAGGAATGTTATTGTTTAAATTATAGTTTATAGTGAAAATATTCCAAATAGAATCACGGTCCTTTGCAACATAAAGTGATAACTGCAAACTTTTATTCAAGGATGTAGAAAAAGAATGTTCACAAGTAACTTGATTCAGAATAGCCCCAACTAGAAAGTACCCAAATATCTCTAAGTGGTGAATGGTTAAACAAATGATAGTAAGGAGAACAATATTCAGCAATAATAAAAAACACACTATCACTACATACAACAACTTGAATGACAACATTATGTTAAGTGAAAAAGCCAGTGTCAGCAGGATACATACAGCATGATTCCATTTATGAAACATTCATGATATAACATAAGATACAAGACATAACACAGGTTGTCAGGAGCCAGGGACAGGGGATGGGAAGGATGTGGGAATATGGATGTGAATACACTGGAGTAACACAATGGAATTTTATAAGGTTACAGTGGATTTTTTTTTTTTTTTTAAATCACAGAGTCTCACTATGTTGCCCAGGCTGACCTCACACTCCTGTAGCTGGGACTAGAGGTGCATGCTGTTGTGTCTAGATCAGCTGAGTATTTTGAGTTCGGGTAAGTCAATACAGTGCTACTCATGTGACTGAACTACATAGACACACACACACAGAATAAATGTTTAATTAGAGAATTCTGAAGAAGTCCTACGGATTCTACAAATGTTAATTTCTTAGTTTTACCATAGATTGTAAGATGTAAACATTGTGAAAGCTAGAGGGTGGGTATACAGAGATTTCTTGTACATTTCTTTGTAATGCCTGTACATCCCATCATTCGAACATACTTGGCAAAAACTCTGGAGGGTTCTGCCTTCAATTTCATAGAATTACCATAGATCAGAAAAATAGGAAAAGATGAACTTATTCTAACTTTTTTCCATGAAAAGCCAACCCACCCAAAGCAACAATCAACAATTCCTATCTATAACTGAGGAAATCCTACACATCTTTTAAAACAAATGCAGATGGCGCTTCCCCAAGGTGTACACAGACATACATGCACACTCATATACAAACACACACAATTTACATGTAACAGGCCTGGAGCCCTAAAATAATCACAGCATAACTCTAAATAATGTAATAAGGCATTTTAATAATCTAAATATCTCCAAAGAATATTTTAATAATTAAAGACCAGGGAGAATAAATTTGAAACACTTTTAAAGATAACAAAAGAGCTATATATAAACCTAGGAACGAAAGGTTAAAAATCAGATTAGAGGCAATTAAGAAAAATATTACAAAGATAAGTCTTGAGGGTATGACTCAGAAGGGAAAACACTGACTGAAAAGGTAAAATATTGAAGGAAAGTTAAGAATCAAGAAAGATTCAATGAAGAAAATCAACATATGTCTAATAACTATATGTTGCTTAGAGTAACATTTAAAACAACCCATAAAGGTTAAAAGGATGGAAAAAGATTTATCAAATACACACCAACAAGAGAGCAGCCAGTAAAATAGCCTTTTGTAATAGCAAGGCCTCAAAATATTTAAATTAAAAACCTATCAAACTACAATAAACTGACAAATCCACACATTTCTAAATGATAGAAGACTTAGTTCACTTTTCTGTAAAGACATAACAATCAGACTTCAAAAAATTAGATGTATATTTGAAAGTATTAACAAACCTGATCTTAGAAATATGCTTTACATCCTACCATTACAAGTGTAAGTACATGCAGAATACTTATAAATACTGAACTCCTGAGCCACAAAATAAGATTTAACAATCATACCAAAGAACTGACATCAGTGTTTACCTGACAACAATTAACATGGAAGGAAGGGACTTATTAAAAGCCTGACTGGAAATGTAAAATCCAACTTCTACTTAATTTATGAGTCAAAGAAGAAATCATTAAAATTCACAAAGTGTTTAGAATGGGTACTAATAGAAATACTATATTTTTCATAAAAGAGTAAAACATAACAAAAGTTAATGAAATATAACAAAAGAAATATAAAGGAATATAAACAAGGCCAAATATTAGTTTTCTGAAAAGACTCTACACAGACAAATCTCTGGCAGGACCGAACAAGGGAAAAATAAAGGAATATGACCATAGATACAACAGAGATCTTATAAAATATATTTAGGAACATCTTTGTATCAAAAATCTGAAAACAGCCAGGCACAGTGGCGCTCACCTATAATTCCAGAGGCTAGGGAGGCTAAGGCAGGAGAATCACATAATCAAAGCCAGCCCCAACAACTCAGTGAGGGATCCTAAGCAACTTAGTGAGACCCTGTCTCAAAATAAAATATAAAGAGGACTGAGAATGTGGCTCAGTGGTTGAATGCCCCTGGGTTCAATCCCTGGCACCAAAAAAAAAAAAGAACAAATTTCCTAGGGCAGGGGAAACTTACTAGAATTGCTTCAAGAACAAAAAGAAAATCTATACAAATCTATAACTATTAGAGAAACTCATTTGGTGGAGAAAGCGCTAACCATCTGACAAATGTTACTTAACTTTTGAAGGACACATAATTAAACTGTTCCAAAAAAAGAAGCAACACGTTATATATAGCTAATATAACTTTTTGAGCCCCACCCAAAGAAGGACAATATAAGGAAAAATCTGCAGTGGTTTGCTAGAACTGGTTCATAATGGCTAACCAGGGAGAGCTGTGGATATCTCTTCCCAACTCCACATGACCTCATGTTAGTAGCTTGAAATCTTCCATGGTAGAAATTATTTACACCATGAGAACTGTCAAAAGGCAAGTCAAGACTTTTCTTCTGAAGAGTCAGTTGTTAAACATTTATCACTATACCATTGATGGTATGCCAACCTCAATTAAAAACATAAATATTTAATTCAAAATTAAATTTTTAACAAACTCATTCTAGAACCTTAAAAAAATGACAAAATTGAATGTATCTCAGGAATGCAAGGACAGCTGCAAACTTTAAAAACACTAACATGTGAAATAACAAAATATATCAACAAACTATATGATATTCTCAAGACAAAAAATTAACAGTGATAGAAATTGTTAATTAAATTGGGTAATCAGGAGAATCCTTAGCACAATAAAAACATCTGTTAAAAAAAAAAAAAAAAACACCTGCAAACACCACACTTGATACTAGGAACAATCCTTAAAAATCTGAAACAAAGCAAAAGAAGCCCATTCTGTTTATATTCAATACTGCATTGCTGGAGATGTTCAGTAGATAATTGAGAGAAAACAAATTATAATCAGAAATGAAGAGCCAAATCTGTCTGTTCCCAGGTATATTTGTTAAAAGAATTTAATTAGATGTATTAGGAAAATACAGCAACAACACTTAAATCCAAGACTAATATATAAATATCAATTACTATTCCCAAGTACCAGAAATAAACATTAGAAAATGTTTTAAAAGACTCCATTTAGGGAGACACACAATTATTCACTAGCGCACTTTCTGAAAAAGATTAGAGAAATTAAACATCCATCAATGTATACTTGTGAACTTTATTATATATCCTACAATAGAGACTATGTGCCAAAATAAAGAAGTAATTGTTTACTGTGGTGAAAGATATCATTTCATAATATTTTTATTAAGTGAAAATAGCAGGATCCAGAATAATATAGGTTTTACTTTTCAACAAAAATTTTAAAATTTACTTTTGTTAACCTAGAGGGGAAAATGAATGGATATACATATTTGCTTATGTCAAATGTTTTGGAAAGGAAAAACACAAAGTTGGTAAGAGTGGTGAGAGGCAAAAAGGAGAAAGGCTTTTCATTATGTATCTTTCTATACATTTGAAATTTTGAACCAGGTGAATGCATTAGTTAAAAAATACTCTAACTTTAAAAATTTTTTAAAGTAGCATTTATAATGGCAACAAAAATAGTAACCGGCAATAAAATATATGTAAAACCTTAACAGAAAAAGGTATAAATCAACAACCTTAATACATTTAAATAAAAATTAATAGTTTTTCATAAAATTAGAAACTGTTTTCTAAAACTTATAAGAAAAAACAAAGTGTCAAGAAAAGATTAATTATGAAGAACTTTTGGGCCCTTCAACACTTAAATGTGAAGCAATAATACTAACCAGGGTTAGACCAACAAACCAATGGAAAGAATACAAGTGATGAGAGTTCTGCGGTGGTGGTCTGTGGAGAAGGTAAAGAGGTGGATGAAGAAAGGTCAAATCTAATTAAATCTCAGTAGTTTGGAGACCATGATAAATAATATTTAGGTCATGTGGGTGATGGTAAATGATTTTTAGGCAAGAAAAATGGCTCAAGATCCTGATATGAGATGTTCTAAAGCAAGTGCAAATACTAGAGAATATATAAATCAGTCATTTCTGAATGTCATCAGTTTTAAAAACTCACAATTTTGACTCTTTTCTAATGATCATTTTATCATCCATACACTACTTTATTGGGAAATACTTCCTTATAATTCTACTATTTTGCTTGATAGTAATTTTCTTAGTGTTCCATACTAATCAAGATGGAAGGCATGACTGGATAAAACACAATCACATGGTCTATAATCTAAACAGTATGTTTCACTACTTTAACGATTCCTAGATGGATTTATAGGGAAGATCGCAAAAATTATCTTGACAAAAGATAACAATGAACATAAAAAAATAATATATTTAGAAGAGAAATTGTAGGAGATTTAATGCTTTCTATATAAATATACAAGATAAAGTTCACAGATAAGTCAAAAACCTTACCCTTTTCAGGTAACTCTGGACCTCTCCCCCTACTTCTGCCCATCCGGTCATTCCTAATTTCACTTCGAGACTCATTTCTGGAATCATTCCTTATTTCAGTACGAGAACTTTCTTCTCTTAAGTGATTTCTGCCATAACTCCGTGATTCTTCCTGATATGTATCCTCTTTTCGATGAGTATCTCGACCTTCACGGTCCCTATAGTCATGGGCATCACGAGTGGACCGAGAATCTCTGGGATCACGGCTCTCTTTACTATCTCTGCTGTAATCCCTCATCTCCCTTGAGTCCCGGATGTCTCTGGAGTCTCTGAGTTCCCTGCGGTCTCTAGTGTCTCTGGTATCACGACGGTCTCGACCATCTCGAGGTTCTCTTTCATCTCTGTGGTCTCTAGAAGAGCTCTGATCCTGTTCATATTCTCGTTCTTCTCTTGTGTCCTTTTCTCTATCCCTTTTGCCTCTAGTCTCTGTTAACACAATTGTAGAAATCAACTGTAATTTTTTTCCCAAAGTTTCAAAAAACTAGACAATATATTTAATTAGAGCTTTATTACAAGAGTAATATATACTTTGCAGAAAGAAAAGGAGAAAACAGGTGAATGTTTTAAATAGTTTAAAATTAAAACTATTTATATGCTAAAATCCAAAAGATAATTTAATTAAAGATTTGATAGCTACATTCTTAACTGGATAAATGGTGAACATGAAGGTCCCCACCCCAATTTAACAATACTTATAGATCCTAAGCGACTGAAACAAATAAGTAAATCTCCTTTCCTCTCATTGCTTTTTTTTTTTTTTAGAAACAATTTTAGATCCAGAGGTGCACAGTGACTTTAATTATATCTACTGGATATTAGGCTAGATTTAAAATACATTATGACCACCTCAAATTTATTTAAGCACTAGAGTGGCTCAGTTAGCTGCTGGCAAAGAGTACTGTTCTTCACTCTTTTCCTGAGCTGCTCAATGGTATGATACTTGTGGGTGTGACCATTTCTAAAATTTCCTCTATTTAAGTGTTTTCTGATATATCACAGAAAAAAACACCTCATTTTTAAAAAATAGACTACAAGGACTGGACATATAGCTCAGCAGGTAGAGTGCTTGTCTCACATGCACAAAGCCCTGGGTTCAATCCCCAGCACCACAAAAAAAAAAGGACCTCAATGTTTATTTAAACCAACTTTGTTATTTTATATATGAATTAATACAGGCCCAAAGCTTAGATATCTCATACCTCATGAAAATTCGCAAAGATTATAAGCCACTATTTAGACATGCCTAGAAAAGGTATAAGATGATTATAAACATAAATCTGATAGGCAGTTAAAATATTAACAAGAACCACAAAGAATAAATTCTGCCCTTTTTAATCAGACTCTTTTGCAAGTTGTTCCTATATTCTGAAACTGTCAACAATCTGACGCTATTCTAGCAACTATAGCAGACTTATGCCTAAAACATTATAAATTTATTCCTTTTATTGTCCTTGCTGGCTGGGTCCATAATCTCTTTCAAGGAACTCTCAAATAATCCTCAAAGCCTTACTCAATACCCAAACTCCTTTGCCAATGCCTTTGTCCATATACCTATATTTACAAATGCTAAAGACAGAAGCAATGGGTAAGGATCTGATATATTTCCATCTTTTTCTTCACAAAACTATGATTTCTACTCCTCTTCCAATACCAACTGTCCCTTAAAATGTGTCCACTTATACCAGACTCCTGGTTTCATGATACTGCCATCAGTCTTTACAAATATATGTAATTATTAATTTCATTCTTTATCTCCCCATCCTTCTACTGAAATCATCCTTATTTCAGAAAATGACATCTAAATAAAGAGGAAGAATCATTTGCTAAATCTCTTCTTTCTATAAAAGATTAAAGAAATATCCTCTTTACAAAGGATTCTTCCATAAGCAATTCTTTCTACCAAAAAAGCATTCCCATGAGACTCGACTGATATTATTTTCCCTTCATTAGTATGTTTAATAATAATGACAAGTTTTCATTTAATAAGTAGTCATAAATATATACTATATTCTTGGTCAAATCTAGTTGTTAAATTTTATTTAAATTAATAGGTATAAGTAAATTTTCCCAACTTACCAATTTTCCATAAACATTGTATGGAAGCTTCCATCATGAGTTCTATAAATATAGCATATACAATGTTCCATATACACTGTTGTACTGTTCTGGTTCTATAATCATGTACATAATAATTAATTCTACAAAATAGATACTTTCTCTGTCTCTACCTACATATCCACTATTTTTTCTGGGTAAAAGATTTTGAGTGAATACTGCTTGCACTGTTGATACAAAGAACATAACTATTAATATCATTTACAGGAGACTTCTATAATGTACTCGAACAGAGAGATATAAAATGCATGTTAAACAGAAATGTTGTTGCAAGTATTTCCTAAAACCTTACTATGTTCAAAAACTAACTCAGAAGAAGTTAAATAAGGAAAGGAAGCTTAAACAAGAAGTATACAAAGGGATGACAGCTTGAGTATGGAGTTGCATATCTAACATTAATATAATTCTCAGGAATTTAGAAAGTAAAACTGCTTTGCTTACTTCCTTCTTTGAAGTGCTGGGATTGAATTCAGAGCCTCACACATTCTAGAAAAGAGTTCTACCAATGAGCTATACCCTCAGCTCATGCTTACTTTTTTATTTTGATTTACATCTAGAAAGTCAATGCAATGACTTGGTTGCACTGACATTCTAAAAGTTTTCCCCAGCCCTGGTCCCTTTATCAAAACGCTTTCAATGCTTTTAAACTCTGCTCCCTGATTTGCTATTCTTCTTCCCTTTACTTCTTGATTTTTAAAAACATATAGTTAACTGAAATGGACATACCAAAATTTAGATGGGCAAAAATACACACACAGCTCACCAACTTAGCATACCTATAAATGCCACTTGTGCACACTTAATACTTAACATCCCTATGTCTTTGAGCATTTCCTGTTGCCCTTAAGAACACTAGCCTTCATATTACAAAACTAAATATCTTCCTCCATACCTTATTACAACAATAAATATAGATGTCCAATTTTCAGTAAGAAATTGTTTTTAATTAAAAGAACTCTTGAAAAAAAAAGAAAAAGCAAGCTGAAGTACAGTGTATACCTTCCCTCCTTTCATGACGCCGATCGTGTGACTGTGAAGTTCGTTCATGATCATGCCTCCCTTTCTCTCTCATTGGAGAGCGATGTCTTGAAGGACTTGGCTTTCGCTGAGGAGAAGACAAGCAATGTGAAGGATAAGGAGAAGCAGAACGTCGTAAAGATGGAGTTAAAGTCCGCTGGTAAGATGGTGAAGGTGTTCTTTTTCGACGAGGAGAAGGAGAATGTCTTTGAATAGATGATCCTGATTGTGAGGATGATGAGTGATGTCTAGAAGATATAGGAGAATGATGTTGTCCTGATGGGGAAGTAGATCTATATGGAAAAATAGCATTAAAAAAAAATGTTCAAAAGCCTTCTATTCCAGCCAAAGGAATATCTTTAAACAAAACTGACTATAAAAGTTAAAGCTAAATGCCACAGTCTGGCTGGGCACAAAATAACCGAGCCACCACAAAGCCTTGCAGATTCAATCAGCAACTCTTTATTCCCGAACTCTCACCGACACTCTACACGCACTACTTGGGAATACACTCCCTCCACCGGGCTCTGCATACCAATTCTCACAGAACCCCGCGAAAATGGAGCGGGCACCTGAGGCAGCAAGTTACGCCCTATTCCCAGCAGGATCCACCCTAAACCCGGGGCCACCCTAATCCCTGAGCAGGGTCACCTATCAACCCAAAATGCCATGCGTCATTCCTACTTGGCTATGGCTCTCAGCAGCTAAAAGTGTTGGTAATAATTATAAGACAAATTTTAATTTACAATACTCTGAAATTACAAATAAGTTGCTTTTATTTAAAAGATGTGACTGACTTATAAGTGGAAGTAACAGCTTTAGAAGAAATATGCTGTGCCTTTCTCCCAAGTGTGCCAAGGCACACTGACTTTTCCAGGCAATGTTCTCCCTGAGCGAAGACTGCCTACTCTAACTTAAAGTAAAGAATTCATTTTGATAATCTGATAGTATAAACAAGTACCCGGAGGGGGAAAACTCAAAAACAACTACAGAGAAAATATACTAGTAAGATCAAGGTAGGAAGCAGCTGTGAAAATGCTTGTAAATTCAAGACCCTGGGGAAAGGAAAACTATCCCCAACCACAAAAAGCAAATCTGTGCTGCCTGGGATGACATTTAGGACTGTGAAAGAATCCTATGGTTAATGAGAGGACAACAAAGTGTATACTGTCTTTATCTTAAATAAACTGCCTTCATTTGTGGGCAGCACAAACTGAGATTTAGTACATAAATCTTATTTAACTAGGACCTCCTCAGTTCTAAATTGTCTTCTTTCACTGCTACCAGAGGAACAACTTATAACCCCGTGAAACACATCTGAATTACACCTGGAGCCTGTTATGCCATAACCTGAGTGTGATAGCAAGATGAAGTACACATATCTGTGCAATAACTAAAAAAGAATGCTACCATTTACAAACAACATTCTAGACATCACATACCTAAATATCATATTTCTCAAAGCAATTAGCTAAACGCGAATTCAAAAAAATTCTGACATTCTATTCAAAGTATTCTGGAATTACCTTCAGTGCCTATGATAAATATGTTTTAATATCTGTAATGGTGGAAAAATCATTATTAACCTTAAACCAGGGTTTAACAACCTCTGTACTATTGACATTTTATACCAGATAATTCTTAGGTGTTGGGAGTCTGTCCTGTATACTGTAAGATGCTTAGCAGTATCCCTGACAACTCAACAGCACCCCTCCCACTGAGTGGTGACAATAATGGTACATTGTCAACTGTCCCCTGGAAAACAAATGATCTTAAGTTGAGAAACACTGCCCTATACTAACTGTTTATAAATAATGCCTCTTTAATTTATATAAATTGTCGTGTGTGTGCATGCACACACGCCAGGAAAGTAATCCAATATATTCAAAAGGATTTACAGAAAAATAATTTAGGCAAATAAAAAAAATGCCTTTACAATAACAATTGACTGAAAACTAAAAATCTGCTATCTAGAACACTACATTTGTCTTAACAACTAGTTATGGTTCATTCAATTGAAGCTTTAAGCTTTTATTTAAAAACTTATTTCTTTCAATATAATAAACCATAAACCACTAAAATGTAACTGACTATAAATAGAAATTTATTTACTTACAGATACAAGTAGAAATGTTCAATGATTTTTACCCAAAGCTAGAAAACCATTTATGATCAATAGCCAAACAAATGCATCCTACTGAACAGGAAAATCTTTACTGTCTGTTTCACTTTTGTTAGGTAGTAGTCAATTTGGAAATATGTAAATTAATAAAGACTGGCTTATCCATAAATGAATATTTTAAATTTCTGGAATATACTTAAAAATTTATTTCTGGAATATACTTAAAATTATTTCATGAATATCTATAATAGGCTTTGGTGATTAATTTACAGGATACAAAAACCAAAAGTTTATTCATAGTATCTTTTTAAAAAATTACAGTCCAATCATATTTTTATCCAAACCTGTTGTCTATAACATGAAAGAAAAAACTTTAGTTCACACTTGAGATGATCACACAAATATTTAAGGCCAATATACTAACATATTGCTAAGTAATGGCTTCATCATTTTAACCATGTTTTCTTCTTACTCTTTTAGTTTCAGAAAATTGTTGATTCAATTTAAATACCTTTGCATTTTTCTCTTTGATACTAGTCTTCTAAATGTCTAATGACTGAGAATAAGGAAAAGAGAAGACCTGATGACCAAGACAAGATGGATCAAATTAAGCATGTGAGTCTAACTGGACATACACCTATACCCATTCTGCATATATAAAAGATGTCACTAAGCAATAAAACTATCTTGAAATTTAATCAAAATTATAAGTACTCTGGTTATAAATTATAAAAGAAATATATTAAAATATTTCCACTTAGAAGAAACCAGCCAATTCTAGAGAATTCTAGTTCACCTGAAGTTATTGCTCTTCTAACAGAAGGATGAAGAGCTATGTATTTATTGACCACTTTATCTTATTTTCTTAAATTATTACCTCATTTAATCCTGACCTCAACCCAATAAGATAAAACTATGCATGTTTTACAGCTGAAGTAAAAGAGAAGCTCAGGCAGAACAAGTATCTTGTCCAGGGTCTTACATCAAGTAATTGGCAAAACCAGGAAAATTTTTCAATTTGTGTAACTTCAAGGTTTGTGCATTTTTCATTACACTGTAACTCAAAAATGTGAGTAGGATCCCTCTAAAGAGTTACATTTTTCCTGAGGAAATATTAATTTCATGAAAAAATAAATTTGGAAACTAATAAAAAATGAACAAGGGAATGGGTGTTCCTTATCAAATATTTAAGTATTTCATAAATCTTGTGATCCAGGAAAATATTCATCCCTGATTAATACTGATACAGAAGCCCTCAAAAAAATACTAGCAAACTGATTTCAACAGCATATAAGAAGGATCACACATAATGACCACATGGAATTTATTTCTGGAATGCAAAGGCGGTTCAACATTGTGAAACATTAACAAAATAAAATGACTACTTGGCATCTGCACTGACATACACAAAAACATCTGATGAAATTCAACACCTTTTAATGATTAAAAATATCAACAAATTAGAAATATAAGGAAACTACCTCAACTTAATAAAAGGCCATTTATGAAAAACCCATAGCTAATATCCCTCTCAATGAACAAAAGACTGAAAGGTTTTCCTCTACGATCAGGAACAAGGCAAGGATACCTCTTCCTGACACTTCTATTCAACATCATGTTGGAACATTTATATTAATTTTCAAAAGAAGTAAAAGGCATTGAAATTGGAAAGTTAAATGGTCTGTTTGTAGATGTCAAGATCTTACATGTAGTAAACTCTAGATTCTAAAAAAAATAAGCAAAATAAAACTTTACTAGAACTAATAAACAACTTTGGCAATGTTACAGAACAATCAACACACACAAAAAAACAGTTGTGTTTCTACCCACCACAATGAACAAATCTGAAAAGGAAATTAAGAAAACAATTCCCCGCATGGTAGCATTAAAAATACTATATAGGGATAAACCTAAATAAAGAGATGACAGACTGTACAATGAAAATTATAAAGCACTGCTAAAAGAAACTTAGAAAGACAGAAATAAAAGGAAAGATATCCTGTGTTAATGGCTTAGAAGATTTAATATTAAAATATCCACACTACCCAAAGCAATCTATAGTCAACACAATTCCTATCAAAATCCAATGGCCTTCTTTGCAGAAACAGAAAAATTCATCCTGAAATTTACATGGAACTTTAAGTCTCCCCTCCCCCAAATAGCCAAAATAATTTAATAAAGGAATGAAGTTGGGGGATTTGCACTTACTGATTTCAAAATGTATTAAAGAGCTACAATAATTTTATCAAGTATGGTACTGTCATAAAGACAGCCTTGTAGTTCTATGGTGTAGAATACTCAGAAATAAACCAAATATGATCATTTTTTAAAGGATGTGAAGACCAATTAAAGGGGAAAGAACAGCCACTTCAACAAATAATTATGCCCAAACTAAAAATCCACATACAAAAGAATGAAGTTGGACCATTATCTAATACCACATTACAAAAATTCACCCCAAATGAACTAAATACCTAAATGTGAAAAGTAAATATAATATTCCTAGAGAAAAACAAAGTAGAAAAGCTTCATATATTGAACCTGTCAATGATTTCTTAACTATTACACCATAGAAACCACAAGCAAAAATAAATGAGATTATATCAAACTTAAAAAATTTTGTGTATTAAAGGACATCATCTACAGAGTGAAAAGGAAACTTATAAGAATGGAAGAAAATATTTTCGAATTTCATCTCTGAGAAAATGTTCAATATCATTAATCACCAGAGAAATGGAAATCAATATCATGATTTATTACCTCACACTCTTTAGAATGGTTACTATAAAAATACACAAAATAATAAGTGTTGGTTAGGATGTGGAGAGACCAGAACATTTGTTCTCTGTGGAAGTATAAAATGGTATAACTGCTATGGAAAACAATAAGAAAGTCTCTCAAAAACTTAAAATATAATTATCATATGACCTAGCAATCTTACTTCTGGGTTTATATCCAAAGGAACTGAAAGTAGGATCTTGAGGAGATATCTGCAGGCCCATGTAAAAGCAGTACTATTCACAACAGCCAAATGTCCATCAATGGATGAATGAACAAACAAAATTTATTCCACAAGAAATATATTCAATCTTAAAAAGGAAGGAAATTCTGTCACATGCTATAATTTGGATGAACCCTAAGGATATTAGTGAAATAAACAGTCACCAAAAGATAAATACTATATGATTCTACTTATACAAAGTATTAAAGCAATCAAAATTCACAGAAACAAGAGAGAACGGTGGTTATCAGGGATTATGAGAAAAAAGAGAAGGGGAATTATTGCTTGGTGAGTTTAAAGTTTTAGATTTACAAGATGTAAAAGTTTTTGGAAATTTATTTCCTGACAATGTTTACATACTGAATACTATTGAACTATACATTTAAAATGGCTAAAAGGGTAAATTTTTATGTTTTTACCATATTAAAATATTTAAAAATTCTAAAATTTAATGTAAATTGAAATATCCATGACTAACTGTGTGAACTACTACACATACACACACTGATAACTAAACTAAAGGCTCATTACAATAATGCCTGAAAGCTCCTAAAAAGGAAATACTTTAGATTCTATAAAAGCATATTGTTAAAAACATACAATCCTACTTACCTTGGTTTCTCTCTTTTTTCTCTTTGCCTTTCAAAATCCCGCCCTCTGTCCTTTCCATCTCTAGGTTTTTCTTCTATCCTGTCTTTCACTTTATATTTTTCTTTGTATTTTTTACCCAGAGCAATATCTTCTGGTATAGGAGGGGGTGGACTAGGAGTACGTGGTCCTTTCTTTTTACTTTGGTTGTTCTTTGAGTTCCTAAAGGTAACACAAAGTTATCATTAGAGGTTCAAATATTTCTGTAAGGCCAAATTGATATTTTTAAAAGTGCTTTTTAAAAATGCCAACATTCCTTCCAATTACTTGCTCTTTACTATGTTGTATACCAGTAATCAATAGGGAGGAAAAAAAATAACTCACAGAAAGGCGCAAAGAACTGGCTTGTTACTTATTTTGTGAATGCTGCTTATTAGTATGTAATTTTAAATAACAGGTTCTGAGAAAAGATGGAGATACAGCAGGAAGAGACTTTTATAGGTGATTACAAAAGGACAGGAAATAGTATTGTAAAATAAAACAAAAGCTTAAATTGTATTTTTTTAGTTTATATAAAAAGTAGTTAAAGAAAATAAAAATCACCTATAATTCTACGATCCCAAAATAATTACAGCTTTGATATGCTTCCACATTCTTCCCTTGGTTCTTTATATATTCATTTAAAACTAGATATTCACATGCAAAAAGATGAAGTCAGACTTTATCTTGTATCATGTACAAAAACTGACACAAAATTCATTTAAAATCTGAATGTAAAATCTAAAACTATAAAATTAGAAGAAAATAGGAAAAGCATCCTAACAATGGACTTGGAAATGATTTCTTGGTTATGACAACTAAGGTATACGTAACAAAGGCAGAAATAGACAAATGGGACTGTAATCAAAGACAGAAGTTTTCATGTGTTAAAGGATACCATCAACAGAGTGAAAAAGGAAACCAACAGAATAGGAGAAAATATTTCCAAATCACATTTAGAGGATGGTCACAACTATTTTACCACTGAAAATGGATGTTATTCTGTTTCTTTCTTACATACACATATATACTCATGAAAATCCCATTATAGTACTTTGTAAGATCTTTTTATATTGAACATAGAATGGGCATTTTCTATAACAAAAAGTAGATTTAAGTAATCATTGCTATTAATTGTATAGAATTTCTTTGAATAGATAAATGCTCTATAACATTTAATCAATTTCATATTTGTTTTTCAGGTGGTTTCCAAGTTTTGATCATCATAAAGGAAACACAATATCATCCACAAATAAAATTCCAAGCATTTGTTAGCAAACATTTATTTAAATCTTTGAATCTTGTTCCAAGAAATCTTTCCTAACTTTTAGATCAAAAAGGTGGTCTCCTAAAATTATGGAATTTTGCCTTTCATATCTAAGTCTTTAATCAACTTGTAACTTATTTTGTGGAATAGACTTCAAGTAATTTTATGTAAGTGGTATAACTTTGTTCCCTATACATCCCAAAATGGCTGTCTTTGCCACATTCCTGAACAATAGTTTAATTGAATACAATAGGATCTTCATGTCAAAATTCCTTTCCCTAAAAGCTCTATAACATTTAGTGTTGTAGATGAGTAGTCCAAAGAGAGTCATTTTCTTTCCATACAGCTGACCTGGCTTTTCTGTTGGGGTACTTTTAAAACTCTTCCTTGGAAAAAAAACTTTTAACGAAGCCAAGATATTTAAAAAAAGAAAAAATACATATTTTTTTTCCAGTATTCAATATACTGTTCCAATATGAAACTTCATGTTGTTTACTCAATTTCATCTATTTTTACTGCCATTTCCCTGTCTGACCCATCTATTATTTAGTTACTACATCACCTAGATCTTTCATATTAAATTCCTGTCATTCCTATCCTCCTATTTTCTAATATCTTAAGCTTATCTTCAAATTCAGTAACTTTTAAATAGTAACCATTTTACTAATTCTAAATTTGACAATCTCAGTATTCTATTTTTAGTTTGATAATCTTATTTTTCCCAAAATGATATTTTTTGATCAAGTGCTCTCATCATGCCAATATAATATACTCTCAAACTGAATGAAATTTATGAATTATTACTTATATTTGTTCCTGTTTTAAGTATTAACATTTCTGTGTAAGCCATCTGCTCTGAGTGTTTAATCCTGTACTGAGTTTTTAAATAGCCCTTCTTTCATACATCTGGTGAGTTTTCAATGTTTATTCATTTTACTATCTATTGATATTTATACATAAAGATCTATATCTAAATCCTAGAACTTATTTTTTATTACCTTGAGTTCTCTAGTACCAAGATTCCTCAGATATAAAAAGATTAACGGTACAACCCTCAAAATTCCTAATAAGATTGAAAAAATATAAAAGCATCTAACTTATACTTAGCATTCTGAAAATTTAGCTCTCTTGGTTCTTATCCTTATTTCCTTTCACAGATAGGGTCAACCCACTTAAGCAAGTAAGAGATTACTAAAATATGATTACCAAATCTATTTTTTACCCTTACCCTCTGCCAACAACCACATTAACCACAAATCTCATTACATATTTATGAGATGGCTCAAACTACTTATGCATCTAATAATTAAGTTAGATACCTAAGATTTCTAAGTATTTTTCCATTTTAAAGACAAAAACTAGTCACTTTTAGGATCTGTATTAAAAACAAAATGAGAGAGGAATTTTAACTATTTTCATGTTACTGCCTATAATAGAAGATTTACCAAACTTTTCCCCTAGGCACACAGGGCTGAACCATACTATCTAGACTTTTTTTAAATTAGGTGTGGTCAAGCAAATAAAATATGACCAAAGCAATGTGAACAGAAGTGATGTATAGCAATTTCAAGGACTTCATATGCCAGGCAACTGTAAATTACAAAGCTAAATAAAGAAAACATTTTTTTTTTTAACCTTGTACATTCCATTCTTTGGTTTCCTTGAAAGTCCAAGCAAATAGAGCCATAGGTCTGAAGGTGCCTAGGTTAATAAATTTCCAAGCACAGAACACCACTTATTAATTAGAAATCACCATTTTGACTTCACTTAAGTAAGAAATACTTCTGTTGTGTTAAACCACTGACATTGAGATTTAGCTATTACTATAACCAGGATTATCCTTGGAAAATTTATTTATTATTTGAGTAGACAAATGCTCTATAACATAATCCTGAAGTATAGTATTTCTTCACATTATGTTTAAAAGCATGTGGTTGGAAAACACAATTATGTTACACTGCACCGTTTTCCAACTGAAAGGGCCAATATTGGTTTTGCATATTCTGAAATCAACAAGAATCTTTTAATATTTTTTAAGTCAATGAATGATTATTCTAGGTAGCACCAAGTCCATTACTATTTGTGGTATACAGTATACTTATATACATCTATGATTTTTAGATTCTCTACCCACCCCCCGCCAAAAAAACCCATTCCTTTTGAACAGCTTTGGACATCCTTTATATTTCTCTGTACAAAGAACTACAAGTAAAAAATTTACATAGTAAAAACTAAGGCTAAAAATGCAGATGGACGGATTAGATAATACATTTATGATTTTTAAATCACTCTCACATCTTAGGATAAATCTTAACTATCATACTAGATTTTACAATGGATGTCAAAGAAAAATACCAGCTTTCAGGGAGAAATGTGAGTTTTAATTTGTCAGTAATTATATCTGTCCATTCAATACGATAACCTAGTAAGACCAAGGAAGAGTTTATTCATCTGATTTGTCACCTCGGCTGACTTACTGGCACTGGGTGAAATGCTTCGCTGAATTTTAACTGAAATTCGAATCCTTACTTGTGCTTAATATGTTTTCAAACAGTTTATAGTATGATCTAGCAATGAAATTAAAAGTTGACTGATATTCTCCAGGCAATGTGAACTGCCTAAAGAAATGCTATAATTAATTTAATGTTTTGTTTGTTTGCTTGTTTTCCCAGAGATACTAATTTATTTAGGAAAACGGATACACTTAAGGAAGAATGCCAATGATCTCAGAGTGAAAAGGTACCTTTTGGAGTAAAGCTATGAATAGAAATTCAATGGAGCATGTGGACCATCTTCAGAGAGAGAAAGAGAGAAAATTCTTTGTATTTTTAATGTATTATTTTCCAGACGATTCTGGGTTATTATTAATGATGCATATTAAAGTAAACAACACATAGAATATAAAAATATAGTAGTTAAATCAATGTGACAATATTTATTAAAGGACAATACACTAATACAGCAGTGTGAGAGATAATATAAAATGAAGATGAAACTAACCCTCATCTAAACAATTATTACAACTTTCTATGAAAAGACTTTCAAAGATTTCATGAAAAGAAAGGATAATAAAATGAATAAGGCATATTTCTGATATGCAATTTATTGGAGATATGAATGGAATTGATGAAATAATATAATCAGTTAGCCAATAAGATAGAGAGCAAGTAGGGTAGATCACATCATTCTCTGATTCAACTTCTTCCATATTCCTTTGCAATATTTATTTAATCCCAGGAACAAAGAAGAGGATCAAGTCAACTTTACTGAGTGCCTTATTACAATGCAAAGCTCTATGCAAAGTAGGCACTGTGGGAAGTTAGAACAATGAACCATCAAGATCCCAATTTTCAAGAAGCTTAAATTTAATAGAGGTTGTAAAACACATATGTCATAGCTGAAATACAATGCAAAGGCAATTAATATTAAGAGGAAGATATAAACAAAATCTGATAGGTATACAAAAGCGATAAAAATGATGTTTGGTAAGGAGAAATAGGAAAACTTAATAGAAATTTTAGAATTTAAGCTAGGGATTGAAGGACTGAGTTTAAACATAGTAAGTAGGAGGAAGATTGAACAAAAATATTGACAAGAAAAAAAGATCAAAATATGAATGTCATCTAAGGAATCTGAATTTTATTGAGTTTTTAAATGGCATAATAAATGAACAGAAATTGTTCTTTTATGATTTCTCTGTTAGCATGTATAATTAATGGGTTAGAGTATCTGAATTAAAATGTGTATGAATGTGTAGAGCTGGATACTATATAATGTAAATACATTTAGTAGAATGATATAATAATCTAGGGCAAAAAGTAACTGACATCTGAATAATGGTGTCTCTACGAAAAAAGGAGAAAAAAATGATTTTCATTATGGGTTCAGAGAGACAGCATTTTCTAACTGATCAAATGTTGGGGAAAAGAGGTTTTCAGTTATTTTTTAAAACATAAAATTAACATATGTGCTTTAATTAAAATAAAATTTAAATGGTACAGAGTGATATTAAGTGAAAAAATGCCAGCTGCACCATGAATTCCTCAATGTAATTAAATTTAAACATTTCTATTTTTATTTCTTTAGCTGGCTACTACAATAATTCTGAATAATATATTCTGTTGCTAGGTATGTAATATAAAAACTCTAAGTTGTTGGTCATGAACACAAAGAGATAAAAATATTCATTGTGTATACTTTACAATAGCTAAAACTGAAAATAACAAATGTTCAATAACACAAAACTAATAACTATGTTGTATAAACATGAATGAACTAAGGCTACATGTATCAATATAGAGAGATGAAAAACAAATCTTCAGTAAAAAAGTAAATTGTACAAGGAAAGTTATTTATCTACATTACGATTAAATAGATAAAAGCTATATTATATTTTGCAAAACAATACATAATGAAAATATACCCATTTATGCACATTATCATAAATACCAAATTCAAGTGAGAAGAATAAGGAATGTATGTTTTATTTCTTAAAAAATAAAACCTCTGAAGCATAAACAGATGTGACACAGATATTTGTTATAATTTTCTTTTAATTTTTGCTTAAGAAAAGCTTACACTAAATACTAAACATATTAAAAGTACCCTTCTATATATACTAAGTGATTCTTTTTAATATCTGTTCAGAAAAAGATACTTCTTTCTGGCACTACTTATCACCCTACTGACCTCTGCTGATCCAATAGGGGAGAAGATACTGCGGATGTCTTCCTATCTTTCTTGCTAGCGGAAGATGACTTGGGGCTTGATTTTCGCTTTGGAGATTTGCTAGACTTTCTTAGAGAAGGCGATGGAGACAATTTTGATCTAACCACTTCTGGTGACACCTTTCAAAAGAATTCAGTACGTTAATTGAGAAATTCCTTCATTCATGATACAATAAAGCATATATACCTTAAAATAATTTTTAAAAACCCTCAAAGTAAAAAATCAAGTACTACTACAGCTACAATCTATTAGTAATCTGAACCCATGCTTTTAACCAGTATAATTAACTGCTGTAACATACACCGTTATAAAGAAAGCAAATGAAAATTATGAAATTTCAAACTCTGAGACAAATATCAAATTATATTCAAACCAATTATCTCTATATATTTTAGAAAAATGAACAAGGAATTCTAGAAATGGCACTGGCCTGAAACAGACATGTAGTCTTAAGCCCCACTTTATGTTAGCTGGTGATTCTAGCAAGCAAGTTTCAGTTTTGTTCAATAGCAAATACTTCCTACCATCTAATTGATTAATGTGAAGATTAAATGAGTAACATATATGGAGTAGTTGATACCCAGTGAGCTGCTGATCAATGTATTGGTATCCTAATATAAATTTAGGATGTAGCAAGCAGCTAATTTCTCTGAAGCAACATCAATATTGATATTAATTACTAACTTGAATACTGCAATAAATAGGATACCTCCTTTTTAATGATAATTTCTTCTCTCTTCTCCATATTTTCTTGTTCCAATTTCATTAATTCCCTCTGAATCTTCTGACGCTTCATTTCCAATGACAACTCATGAACATAATCATAATTAATATCTCCATTATCAGAATCTTTAAAATAAAAATTTCATTACTAGTCAGAAACTATCATGATTATCTATATAAAAATTACAGCTTTTCAACTAATTTTTATACAAATTTAAATGGCAGATTCTTTTATTAAAATAATATACTTCTAAAAATTAAAGAAATATCTTGGGCCATGAAGGATTGAAATCACCATGGTTGATTTCTTTATTAAAAAAATCATATTTTTATGGTTTCTGGATTTTCTAAAAGTAATATGGGTTGCCCAAAGGGGTTTTTTTTTTTTTTTTTTTTTGGTTAGAGCTGGCAATGTAGCTCAGGGGTAGGGCATTACCTAGTATGCATCAAGTTCTGGATTCAATCCCCAGTAGCATAATAAAGAAAAGCTCTGCGAAGTACTCAGCTGAAGTTTCTAAGCACTAACTATACCAACGCCTTCAATATTTCATGCTACATGAAATGTGGAGATCTCCTTGATTTACGTATTACTAAAGTGAGGCTAAATTAGGAGTACAACATTGTTTCCATAATTTTATCATTTTTATTTTCAAGACAACTGATTTGTATCTAAAACTAAAGCTGGAAAATTTTAATACTAACATGTACTCATATGCTAATTTTTAAGGACTTATAGGTCCTTGTATTAAAAACAGTCAATTCTCAATGGATCTGATGACATCTTTCCATATTCAATCTTTTCCAGTTTAGAAAAAAATTAAAATGAGAGTGGTATGAAGATCTATTTTATTATAATATAAAGAGGTTTTCAATGGCTGCTGGCATTGATACCCCACCCTTCACCCTCCTGTGTCATAAATGTCAAGAAGCTTGGAGAGAGGAATCCAGCCACTTCTCTCCTAATCCATGACCACTGTTGGGCTTCACTGATCACAGCTGAGGTGCCTTTTCAAGCTACACTTTTAGCATTTTAGATCATTTCTTAACCTGAGGTAAAAAAAATAAAATTTTTTTGAAGACACTCAAGTACAATAAAGACAAGAAGTCCTACTTGACTACTTGAAAACATATATCACAAGAAAATAGATATAATTGTCATGTACAGTTCAAATACATTAAAATAATATCATCCATTCATGCTTAGGGATTCAGAGGGTAGCTATACATTTAAATCTGTGTGACAAACGTGATTACTCATGTTAGAGTACGATGACAATATTTCAGAAAATTATAAAATAAATTAAATCAAGTTTTCAGTTAATGAGCAACTCCTGAATATTCCAGGTGATGTAGTTATTATATGATAAAATGGAGATACTGAATTTAACTAAATGAATAATAGCTATCTATAGTTACTATTTTGTACTCCATTGAGACACTTTACATCAGTGAATTAAAGGATTCAATGATCTGTTTTCATTGTGTTCTTAAATAAAATTCCATATTCAAACATCTGGGTAAAACAAAGGAAAGAGTAATTAATTGAGGAAAATGATTAACAGTGGTTTTGAAGACATTATCAATAACACTTTAGCCATCTAAAAACTACTATCAGGAAATATTATCAGTATGAAACATATATAAGAAACAAGAAGATGCTTTCAAGTACTCGATTCCCAACCACCCAATCAAGGAAGAAAGGTCTGAGCTATTAAAATATATGTCAAAGCCAATGTGCTATAGCTAACATATTTTTCCCAGAGGGAAAACTCTCAAGCCTTTACTCAAAAAGCACTTAACTTTATGCATATCTATTATAATCAAAACTCAGATTTTTTCCTAATCTATAAAAGATGAAAAAAACAGAAAGCACAAAATATAAGATGGAACTCACAAGAGAGAAGCCTGAAATTAGTCAATAAATTAAAAAGTATCTTTGTGTATTTTATAGCCTAAGGTTATCACTATAATTACCTTATAAAACTTGATTGTAAAAATGACTAAGTCATTGGGAAAATATTCTAATTATATATTAGAAAGGTATACACAAAGAAAAGGTTGTTATTCTTTATAAATAATCTTACTGATTAACAGAAGCACAGGCAAAGCAATTCACACACAAAATAATGCAAATGTATATAAATATGCCTTTTATGTATTATGAAACCATTTTTAAAAATTACAGTATTGTTTAGATAAAGGACATGCCCAATCTCTAGTGGCAGCAAAACAAGTGAGTATGTCTATCTTTGTTAATAGGAGTAAAAGCCTTCTAACATTTATCTCATTTAAAATAGCAATTGTATTTCAACTAAAATTTATTACATGAAAAAAACCCCAGACTTATAAAAAACATATATAAGAATTAAAGACTATAAGTATTTAAGTATTTCCTTTTGTTTTTATTTATGATACATTCTCACTGCTACACTCTTACACAATTCTGAGTACACAGTAAAATATGAAATTCTCCTTATGTTCCTCCACTAATATCATCACTGCAATGGTAACAGTTTAGGGTTGAACGCATAAAAATAAACCCTTATAGTTTCTTAAACAACAGAACCAAAACTACACACTGCCTTATAAACAGGATTTTCCCATGTTACACATCAAGCCCAATCATCTTCATTTTAATACCTACAAAGCTTTTCAAACTATGAACACACTGTAACTTACTTGACCAGTTTTGTTCTGAGATGTGCAGTTTGTTTTCAATATTTTGCTATCAGAAAGACTTCAGTGAACATTTTAACATCTACCTTGATTGACAAGTACCAGTATTCTTTTATTACAAATTTCTCAAACTGCAATTTATTGAATCAAATAAAAGTACAACCTGTTTTCACTACGGTCAAACTGCATTCCAAAACAACTTTACCAATGTAAACTGACATCCCAATTTCAAAAAATCAAAACTATTTCTATAATACTACCTTATTTGCCTAGTTTAGTAATTCGCCCCTGAGTACATAACAGAATTTTCCAGATGTGATATCTTTAACAGACTGAATGCAGAAGCAGATATGAAAATTAAGCTGAATCCTATTAATAAGCCAGACATTGAAATGCCTTGTAAAAACATGTAAAAAAAAATCTTACCACTTCCTCACATTTTTTCCTTGTAAAAGAATAGTATTTTGCATAAAAGAATATATTAGTTTTATTATTGTCATTATCAAACGATTAATAAATAGTTTTAAAATTTCTCAGATTCAATTAACCAAAGAAAAATATAAAAATCACCATATTTTATATGTAAAACTATTACTAAATATTTTTCCTATAATAAGTCTCAAAAAAAAAAAACAAACACTTTAGGGCTGGGGTTGTGGCTCAGTAGTAAAGTAGTAAATGCCTGGCATGTGTTAGGCATGGGGTTCGATTCACAGCACCACACATAAATAAATAAAGGTCCATAGACAACTGAAAAAAAAAAAAATATATATATATTAAAAAATCACTTTGTTTTTTTTTTTTTTTTTTAAAGAAGAGAGAGTTAAGCGGAAAACATTAGAAATCAATAAACAAGGGACAAAATACAAGGAGCTTCTATATGATTGAAAGACTTGAACAGGAAGACAAAAATCTGAAGAGTGACAGATGGAAGCCAAGCAAAAGAGTCTTTTTTCAGGACAGGAGCTCTAAGATATGTCAAATGCGGTAGAAAGTTACTCTGAGATAGAGACAAGTATGTCTCCATTTAGCAAAGAGGTTATTAGTAACCTTGAAGAAGAGTTTTAGTGGAGAGGTGGGGCAGAAAACTGTATACTAAGTATCAGGTGAAAAGGCAGATATAAGGTCCATTCAACAGTCCATTCTCTTTGAAGAATTTAGCTATTAAGTGGAAATAAGCAGGGTAGTAGCTAATAGTAAGAAAAGGAATGTTAGAGATATGGCCATGAATGTATAACAAATAAACATAATTGCTGAGGTAAGAAGAAATCAGATTTAGAATACAAGGGAATATATTAACTTTATACAACAGGAGGAAGGTCTCTTAACACGGAATAAGAGGAAGATAAATAGTATCAACTAATTATTGTAATTTTATAGACATAGTATTAAATTAGATTATAAAGCCAATGAACTAATCATAAAGAAGTTTCTTATTCTTTCATAGAAATAACTTTTGAGCAAACTGTACTGTTCCTTATTAAGTACTGATGTTCCAATTAGTGGAGAGACATATAGGGTACTTTTCAAGTCTTGGTCTATTTCAGAGATCATTCTGAAATACAGTAATAAATATCTTAGACATGCAAGCTCTTGGATCTCTGTCACAAGGACTCACTCAAATCAGCCACTGTCCCCCAAAAGTAATATGCAGCCAAATTGATATGGCTATGTTCCAATTTTAAAAGTTTATTTTCAAAAATATAAACAAGCAACAGTCCATATGGTGTAGTTTTCTAAACCCTGGTGTAAGTTTTCAGCTTACTACTGAAAAAGCTGTTAAAATTCTTAAGCTCTTTAATTTTGTCATCTGAAAGTAGAATAACATAGCTACTGAATGAGAATAGAAATTATATTAAAATGTCCAGCATATCCAATGCACTCAACAAGTGTAGAGTTCCCTCTCTAGAACTGGGAGCATGAGGTTAGAGTGCTCACCTTCTGGAACATAAAAGAAGTGGAGAAAAGAGAACATTCATGGTATGGAAAAATACTTATTTGTTAAGACATTACTCAAAGACGATTTTGCTAATTTTCATGAATAAATTCCAGGATTCAATTATCATGTGACTAATTTCTTCTGAAAAAAAGAAAGTCAAATTTCTTGGAAATAATTTCCCCAAGTATTTAAGATTTAAAAATGTCATTTTAAAATGTTTTATGTAAAACAACATAAATTTAATTTTTTAACTTTAGTATTGAGGAATTTAAAAATTTACAAATGTAATAAATCAAAGGACTATGAAACTACACAATAAAATTTTAAAGAGAAACCTAGGACGATGAAGTTTAAATATGTATTGCAAACTTTTTTCTGCTTTTGAACCGCTACCCTATGCAGTATCTATCTTACAACTCTGATAGTTAGAAACATATCAATATGATAATTCTGAAACAATGGAGAGATCACAGTTAACAAGTGATTGGTTTTTGTTTTTGTTGTTTGGCTAAATTAGGGATTGAACCCAGAAATGCTCTACCACCAAGCTACATTTTATTTATTTTTTGAGATAAGGTCTCACCAAGTTTCCCAGGCTGGCTCAGAATTTACGATCCTCCTGCCTCAGCCCCCTGATTAGTTGGGATTACAGGCGTGCACCATCTTGTTCAGCCTTGAAAAATGTTTTAAAGCCTATAAAACGTCTAAAAAGTGAATAATCAAGAATTTATCAGGTAAGCAAAGATTCTGAAACTCACCATCTCTAGTAGTTTCCCATTCTACATTTTCTTCTTCACTTTCTGGAGTTCTCTCCTTGGTGATTTTTATGTCTTCTTTTTCCCTATGCCTCCCTCTTGAAGATTCTTTCTAAAAAGTACATACCCACAGATTAGTGTATTTTTGAACAATATTTAAGGTAATTGTAATACACAGTATTTTAATTTCAGTCATCCTTGTTTCATTAAAGAATCAGTTTTGTAAATAATCATTTATCATAAGAACAGAGGAACAATTAAGTTCTAGTACAGCACCAAAATGATAAGACTATAAAAGAACAGCAATTTAGTAAATGTAAGCAGCTAAGATTTAGAAAACACAATATAAATCTAAAACTTTATTTAAAAAACTAAGTTTATTAAAATTGCTAAGTTTCTATGGGAAATCATTTGGGAAACGACAGTTTAAAATGGATAAAATACAATGGAAAAGGTTTGTTAAGTGACCACATTTAAAAATAAAAAAAACTCAGCTATTTATAGTAGATGTTCAAAAATCATCAATCTAGGATTTATACACTAAAATAGTATCCACTTTCCTGCATACCTAAGGATAAATCAAACTCATTTAATGATTCTATAAAGGCTTTCCAAAAAGAGATTTTATTTATTTTGATGAAACCAAATGTTAGTTAAAACAGATAATAAATTAGTCCTTACTACGATAGTTAAAAGACAGATTTTACATTTGGAACACTAGATGTAACAGTAGCCTACACAAAACAGGCCAACAGTAATTGAACTTATAAAATTCAAGATCCTATTATATAAGATTCCAAACCACATTTTACTAGGTGGCAAGAAAATAACCAGTGTCATGTATCTCTTATCATTCCACCACAGTGAAATTCTCACTTTTATTAACAATCTATAATACACAAGATAATGAAAGTAAATAACATTATGTGTTCAAACTAATTTCTAAGCATTACCAGTGATATAATTTGGCTGCCCAAAACACAATCAATTTCTTTTTGGAGTTTACTTTTTTAAAGATTTCTTACATAACTGCCTCTCAATTTTACATATTTAGGTATAAAGTTATGCTGTAAGAATTAGTTGCAAAATAACATATACAGTTGGCAAGACTAATATAGGCTGATACAAATTATTATTATTTTTTTTAGTCTTGTGTCTTTTTGATACAAATTATTAAGAGATTATATGACAAAACTGCCATGGGAAAATGTAAAGGGTCAAGAAAAGAAAATGGGCAATTATTTGTACAGAAAACAAAAGGAAATAAAGGAACACAATCTAATTTTAATCATAATCTGTGGAACGTCAATGAAGGACTGTCCTATATTCCATGCAACTTTTGAATACTGTTCATTAAACCCACTAAAAATATATATTAGTACATACCTATCCCAAAAACATGTTAGAAGACATTATTTCTAAATTAATAAATAAAATACTTTGTGCTTTCTGTCTAAAGTGTAATTACCCGACTACAAATTTAGTTGAAAAAGGATTCAGAGCAGAAGTACTGTATCATAAAACAGACAAAATGTTTTACATTGTAACACAGATTTTTAGCATATTTAGAAACACCAATGAAATGAATAATAAATTTCATTATTTATGTAAATATTTCATAAGTATCTTATATTGACATTACGTAATTTTTGAGTTGTCCATGTCTTAATAACATCTATTATTAAACACTACAGACTACCTGCAGCTTCAATATGTGATGGAATTTCAAGTTAAAAGATAATTTCCTAATAATTTGTCACTATACTGCTTCAAATCATAATATAGGAAATTACTTTGATAACACTTATTAGAAAAGCCTACTCATTTAAAAGAAAATCATATTTCCTCATTTTCTCTACTTTGACAACATATAACTTGTTCAGGCATGTTATTCCTTTATCAAATAAGTTATTTCACCCTTTGTTTTATAGTCAAAGAAACAGAATCTGGTATTACTAGTCACATATACCATGGTTTACTTTAACATTCCTGTATTTCTTCAATAGAATAGTTTGTTATCTTCTCTTAAATTCAAACATATTAATTGAAGCATAATCTTTGGACAACTTTATTTTCTGTAATTAGTCATCTTGGAACATACACAAGCTTAAATACTTGTTAAAGAACTACAACATTTAGCACCAGATATTTCAGAATTTATTCTGAATTTCCAAGCATATTAACACTGACAGTAGGGTAGCAGCAGCCTGTGATCAAACATTCTAATACTTTAAAAAAAAAAAACAGGAATTCACCAATTGTATAAAGACTATAATTAGGTTGTTTCAATTAAGTTTTGCTACCAAGTAAGTCTTCCTAACTTAGGAAAAACATTAGTCTATGTTTCTTGGATTTCAAAAATGTAATAAATAATTATGGGTTTTTAAATAACTTTTATTTCACTTCTATTTTAATACTATTATACACATTTTTCTTGAACATTATATGTGTGAGCAGATTATGTTCATTATGACTTTTATTTTAAGACAGTAAGAATGTGAAATAAATGGAAGTCTTGAGGCTAAGCATTGAGAACCAATACTATAATAAGTGAACTAGTAACTAAATAATAAAATGTTAGGAGCCTTTGTGAATCAAATAATCCAACCTCCCATCTCATGAAGGAAATTTTTCTTTAGGACTAGTTCTTATCTCTGGAATCATGCAAAACAAAATCAACACTTCTTCCACATGCTAGCCCTTTAAATATTTGAAAACTGCTACAGAACTCTTCAACATCTTATACTAGACCAAAGGCCAAAGAAAAACAATGTTTATTATACATACACATTTCATGATTTTCACACTCCTAATTTTTCTGCCATCTTCTCTATATTAATCTGCCAATGTTTCAATAAAACATGATACTCCAAATTAAAGATTCCATATTATCTATGTCAGTCTTCCAAAATTGATATATAGATTATACACAACCCACATCAAAATCCAAGCAAGTTACTTTGTAGATATATGACAAACTGATTCTAAAGTTTTTATGGAGACTCTGAATAGCCTATAAAACTAAAGATCAAAGGTAGTACATTGACACTACTGGACTTCAAGACTTAATACAAAGCTAGAGTAATCAATATAGTGTGATATCAATTGACACAATGTACAAATATTTTTTAAAAAGTGCCCAGAAATAGATCTATAGAGAAATAATCAACTGATCTTTGAAAAAAGAACAAAGACAAATGTGTAGAGAAAGAACAGTCTTTCAACAAATGCTGCTAGAATAACTGGACACCTACATGCAAAAAAAAAAAAAAAAAAGTGAATCTAGACACACTTTACATGCTTCACAATAATTAACTAAAAACAGATCTCAGACCTGAATGTAAAATGCACAACTAAAACTCCTAGAGATAAGAAGAAAATATCTAAATGATCTTGGGTATGGCAATAATATCTTAAGTGTAATATCAAAGGCACCATCCATGAAATAAATAACTGAAAGCTGGACTTCATTAATATTTATAATTTCTGCTTTGTGAAAAATATTGTCAAGAGAATAAAATAGTCAAAGACCAATAGAAAATATTCACAAGGGACAGCTGATCCAAAATATAAAGAATTCTTAAAATTCAACAACAAGAAACCAACCCGAATGAAAACTCCATCACAAAGACCTGAACACATGCTTTTATCAGCTGGCAAATCAGCATATGAAAAGATGTTCAACATGGTATGTCATTGAAGGAACTAAAAATAAAACAATAATAGAAATCACTACCCATAGTATAGTGGTATCTAAATGTAGTCAAAATTCAATATACTGATAACATCAAGTGCTGATGAGTTGTGAAGCAACAGGAACTCATTCATTGCTAGTGTGAATGCAAAACAATACAATTTGAAAAATATTTAAGCAGGTGTACCCCCACACCCCAAACTGGGAATTGAATCCAGGGGTACTCTACAACTGAGCTATATCCCGAGTACTTTCTATTTTTTGAGATAAGGTCTCACTAAAGTGCCCTGTTTGGCTTTGATTTGCAATCCTTCTGCCTCAGCCTCCTGAATTGCTGGATATGTGCCACCATGCCAGGAGTTTGGCAGTTTCTAGAAAACTAAACACACATCTTTTGTAAAATCCAGCAATAAAATTACTTGGTATTTACCCAAAGAAGTTAGGAATGTAGGTTCACATAGAAACCTGCATGCAGATGTCTATTACAGACTTGTTTCTAATTGCCAAAACTTAGGAGCAAACAACATGTCCTTCAGCAGGCAAATGGATAAGACAATAAAGCCAAACGTATATTATGTTTTTAAAGTGAAAATGATTTGTCAATAATTTCATTGATTGTAACAAATTCAAAACTATGGGGTGAGATACTGATGGGGCTTAGGGAGCTGCATATGTGCAGAAAGAGAGGGTATGAGAAATCTCCATACTTTCTTCAATTTTGCTATGAACCTAAAAGTGTTCCAAAAACACAGTCCATTTTTTTAAAAAAAAAGACAAATGAAATTACCGTATTTGATAACATAAACAAATTATTATTTTATTATATTACAGATTGGTATCCCGAATCCAAAAATCTAAAATTTGAAAAGCTCCAAAATCTGAAACTTTTTGAGCACTAACAAGATACCATACGTGAAAAATTCTGACCTCACGTAACATGAATACAAAGAGGCAAGCAGGAAATATTGTGTAAAATTACCTTCAGGCTTCATAAACACGTATATATCTTTACATGATTTCATGTTCAGATGTGGGTCCCATCCCCAAAATGTCTTATTATATATAAGCAAATATCCCCAAATCCATAAAAATCCAAAATTCCAAACATTTCTGGTCCCAAACTGGGATAAGGGATATCCAATCTGTATCCCTAAAATGGGTTTAGAAATAGAGACAAGCAACCCACCACCAAAAAAAGGGGCAGGGAGTCGGGCAGGGAATGGACAGGAGACAGAGACAGAGTTCACAAAAATTATACTTAAATAACATGAAGAGAACAAAGTAAGAGAAAATTAAAACTATACTGATAGCCATGTTTCTCCTAACAAACTGGCAAAATACAAGTCTGACAATACACACTAAGAAGGCCAAGGAGAAATAAACAGGTACTGTCATGTACTACTGGTAATAGTGCAAAT